AGAGTGAATAGCCCAGAAAAAGAAAACAGTTTTTTTGAATGGCTTTTTTGTAACTTTTTGGACTTTAAATAAAAGCCGTCATTATTATAAGCCATTTTATTGATATTTACCTCAAAGATTAATGTATTTCATTATGTTAATAGAAAATTGTCGTAGTTTTTTAATATCCGGTATCCGGCCGGATAGTGAGTTACTATCCGGTATCCGGCCGGATAGTAAATTTAGGCCGGATATCCGGCCTAACGGATAGTTACCGGATATCCGTTTCATCTCTAATATTAAAGTTCTGTTATCGAAATATTTTATTAATTTAAAGATCCATTGCAAATATAGCAGATATAGATATGCAAGCCGGCAAACCCAAACGGAAAAGAAATTGGCAAATGTTGATGGTGTTATCTCTCCGTCTGAAGGTCATTATCGTGACATAATAATGATTAATCACTGAAGGTCGTACTTGTCGTAAATCGCGCGATTTAGATAAACAAAGTAGTTCACTGTGACTCCCGAGACGTTAATAAGTTTAAGTTTTAATAAGTTATGCTACTTTCACAGTGCATACCTATCGTGATTTCTAAGAAACTTATTGAGAAACTGCTTTTACTTGTCAATGACTTGAATTAAAATAAATTCAACAGTACCAGACAGTCTGCATAGGCATATCTTGCTTATGTAATTAATTATGTGTAAATTGATAATATCAGACCAGTCGGTAGCCAGACGGTAGTAAGTATAGTATCAAGAGGTCATACTGTCTCACATCAACCTGTTGAAAAAAATCTCAAAGCATGGCGCACGAGCGTGACACATCACTGATAAGAATGATAATGAATATTGCAAAAAATAGCCACATTGCACCGGTATGTACAGTCTGTTGCACTGAATTAAATCGCGAAAGTACACAAATTGTTATTCATTGTATTGTTGTAAACAGACAAGCAATTCGTAAAAATACACTAGTTGCATAAAATGTTATTTGTGCAGTGTAAACAAGTTTTATAGAATAATATTTGTCAACACACTGAACCCCAAAATGAATGCTTTCTTCAAACATTTTCAATGTTTAAGACTAAATTCATTACAAAACAAAATTGATTTAACCTAGAGTGTATTGAACTTGACCTCTCTTGTGAGAAAAAATATGGATATATGCCAACTCACCTAATTTCTCTAAAGCATCCTCAATGACATCAATGTCTTTGCCAGACAGACCTTCTTCAGACTTTTTCACGGAGTCAACAGCAATTACCGGTGCTGGATCAATCATAATTGGATCCGATTCCATGTCAATGATTGGTGCTTTGTCTTTGAGGACTTCCTTCTCTCTCTTTTTAGCTTCAAGAATTTGTTTCTCTTTCTCAGCCTCCAGCATTTCTCTCTTTTCTTCCTTGATTCTTTGTTCTTCAAGTTTGATGGCATCTGCTTTCACCTTTGCAGTAAGAACTTACTATTATTATGAAATCAAGCAGATTAATATAATGTTTCATTTTATTGAAGTGCAAAAATAATATGTAAGAATTTAAATAGTACAATGTTAATCTCATACTGACCTTGAAGTCCAATTTGCCTTCCTTTTCGCCAATGGCCGCCTTCGTTTGTGTCACAACGTGTTCAGGCAGTGCTGAGATAGTTGCTTTCAGCTTGTATGTAGTCGGCACGTGATCAGGTACCATCAACGCTCTGGACAGCAGCAGTAGCGATGGAGGCACTTTTTCATTTAGCGACAAGTCCAACCAGTTCCTCAACTCTTTCCTCAAACGCTCCTCAGACACACCATACGCCCTCATACCACGAGCTCGGCAAGCTTGCTGTAGCTCACTGAAGTTCAAACTGTCCACACCCTCTTTAGCTATCATTTTGTCATCCGCTGACAATGACCTCAACTTCATCTTCAAATTAAAACGTAACATTGCACCTGTACCAATTGTAGAAACGTTTAAAACTTTACAGAGAGCCACTAAATGTGGTCTTCCCAGGGAATCCAAGGTAATTTCATCCTCAAACAATTTTGAAAACTTCATTATCTCTTCGCTAGTGGCAATGTCACCTGAAGTTCGAATTTTATTGAAGAAGGTAGAGAATTCTTTTGCTAACTCTGAATGCCTGTTACCGGCTTGTGGAGCCATTTGATCTAACGTCTCTTGGAAAAACTTTGCCATCTCCAGCTTCACTTTTAAGTGCTGCTTCAGCTTAGCTTCCTTCATGTCTCTGCTTTCGAATGTGGATGGTAACATGTTTGGGAACAATTTGATTAATACCGGCAGTGCAAACTCCAGGAATGGAACTGCAATGATAACAATAAATGGTACCATCCTAAATAGGTCACCGATGGTGGTAACCAGCAGCCTGTGCTCTCTCCTAGTGAGAGTATCACCCTTCAATATCCTGAACAGTAATGTTGTTGATATTCTTATTTCAATGAAAAGTAGCCTGAACCCATGGTAATAATGTCGTAACTCATCCATTATTCTCTGTTTTATGCTCTTTTTCTTCTCTTCCTTTTTGGGAAGCTTCTCTTTTTCTTCTAAATCCTTTTTTATTGTCTCAACAGTGGCCTCCACTTTGGATGAAGGTTTGAGGGGTTCTTTATCAAAGTATTGTTTGGATGTGGATATTAGCCTGACATGATCTGGGTAGAAGAGGTTCCTTGTGTGTAGAGGTTTCTGGGTAACATCATGTCTCAAGCCTAACGGCTGAGCTGTGTAGTAGGACAGCGACCTTGAGAGTGCTATGTATGGAAAATTTTGATACTGTCTGGTCTCCCATAGTAAGGCTAAAATCAAAAAGGATTGTACAATATACATAAACTGTTTAAAAAGAACTAATGAACCTAAGGTTGACTTATTTATACCAAATATTTTCATGAAATGATGGATTGCATCAACCATGTGATGAGTCAATGAAGATATAAACATATCTTATTAGAACGATATGAGAAAAGAGTGTGCCCAATTAAAAGATACTCATGCACGGGCGGCTTGTTAGTTTCGTATTACAATTTATTACATAAATTATTTTTTACTTGACGAAGTCTCAGTAAGATCTCCGATAGGTTAACCGTCAATATATCGATTAAAACTTTAATAATATACACAACTTACTTGATCTTTTAACACACCGGCAGTGGTTTAAAATGATTCTGTTCATTGTGTATCGAAATACGATTTATATTGCGGAAAAATACGAAAAATGTAACAAAAACAAAATCAACCTTTACACACCATGACAATCGAGAAAAAGTCATAGACTAACAAAAATGTCAGAATTGTCAGATGTGAGAAGCATTTTCATTTGCTGGCAGCTGGCACCATTGATTTGTAAATCATATTTTATTGGCTGGGACCGCTAGTATTAAAAGCTAATGACCAATCCGTGAATAGATAATGGTCAAAGATCTAATCAAAGATATATAACGCTCCACAGCAGCTGCTGTATTATTATTATTATTTTAGAACGTTGAACAAGAACATTTTGAACATTTTTGAAGTATAGGTCGCGTAATGAAAGTTGAGGCCATTCATACAAGCAAAGAATTACATTACAAATTGTCACTTTTTAGTACTCGATAAAGATTTTGATTTATTTACACTCTTTACGCTGGAGTCCGCTGGACATCTTACGTATTCGGAATAATTCTAGTGCTTTCTGTCTAGCTTACAGACATTTAAATTTACAAGAGTGGCGAGAGCTCTAGCTCTTTTAAATTAGACGTTTTGAGACGAAAGTTCAAGTCTGCATCCGTTTGCAGAACCACACACTGACAATTTGTATGACGACAACTGCATTGGAATAAAAATTACAGTAAATTACCAACAGCCATTACCAACACTGAAATCCATGAAGCTCTGAGCATGACAACTGTTAGCGAGGAGCTAAAGCTGACAGGGAATAAATATAAAAAGCGACTGGAAAATCACCCAAATCAGTTGGCTACTATGTTGGCTTGGCAACCATCAGCTACACTAAACGACGATATACTTGGTGACAGATGGTGATGGTGAATGAGGAGTATCCTGCTGGGGAGTTCCTTCAACATGTTAAAACTGCATGGAACAAATCTGCTTATAGTTTGGGACTGATTGCAGATGAGCACAAAAAAAAATTACCAACAGAGTGTACGGTCTTGCAAACGGACGACAAACATCCGTCTCAAAACGTATTTGGAAGTGTTGTTTCTTCCTTAGTCTGAGGTTGTTACACTTCTTCTTTTTTGATGATGTTGGCAATACACGTCGAGGTCGACTTGATTTGTGCGACAAGTATTTATGTGATACGAGTTACTAAATGAGATCAAGTAATGATATAATGAAAGATGATAGATGATACCTCTTCCCACCCTTTGAGTCATTGAGTCTCAGTAAAGTTGTGGTGCTTTACTGAGACCTCCTATCCACAACTTGAGAGAACCAGAAGAATCACGATGCACTGTTTTGCTTCACTTGCCCACACTTAATGGTTAATAATCCACCATTATTACAAACCGCTAACAAACATGACGCTTCAGATTCCCGCCAAGAAGCCGTTGTTGTTTCAGGGGCCGTTCAAGTATTACGTAAGCAGATTTCTTACCATTTTTTACCCCCCCGCCCCCCTTGTCATCAAAAGTAAGCAAAGCACTTACCCCCTCCCCCTATGCTTACGTAAACATTTTGTTATAAATGTTTTTTATATTGTCATTTTTAAAATAGGAAAATTCATGAAAATATTATGTTTTTACTGATACACATAGAGTAGGAACAAAAAAATATAATCTGAAAAAAAAAGAACACAACAAACATAATTGCATCAATTATGCATCAACATAAACACAAATGATAACTTTCAATGCTTACTGTTTAGTATCCAAACAAAACGCGCGCGGGAGGCCGGCTTCGCGTATGATAATATTTTATGCGGACTACGACTCTCAAATTTCAATGGGCAATGTTCGGCACGAGAGGTAATTTATTAGACAAGTGAATAGCGCACGGTAATTTCCNATTCATTTCATCACAGATGTCATTCATGCCGAATTCGCAATTGTTTGTAGAATTTTATTTTTCTAAAAGATTTTTAACTAAAAAAGTAAATGGGACGAGAATCATTAATTTGCTAGAATACGATAAATTAAATGAATCTATTGAGAAAATCCTTTGCCTTATCTAAGTCGATTCTTAGAGGCATGTCGCAAAGTAAGCACTATGAGATAACCTAAAAATGCTCAATATCTTGAATAATTTCAAAAGTAATGACTTAAAAAGAATAGCAAACTAACAGCAGGTATTTTTTCAGATAAAACCGCGTCGACAATGTCGACGCAAGCTCGTAAAGACAGCGCTAAAAGGATAGTTTGGGTTGATTTGGAAATGACTGGCCTGAATATTGATAAAGACCATATCTTAGAAATCGCATGCCTAGTAACTGATGCTGATTTGAACTTGGTGGCAACTGGGCCTAACCTGGTGATACATCAACCTGATAGTATTCTCAATAATATGGACAGTTGGTGTATTGCTACACACGGTGAGGTATTGGGTATAATTCTATTTACTGCTTACTTTTTCCACAAAATAAAAGCAGTCCATAGAATCCATCAAGCACTGTTCTGTCAATTTTTTTTTAATATTTAGAATGATTCTTGCACATCATAATTCCATGTAGACAATCACATTTATCATTATAGATTTTTATTTTTGTACATAGAGTAAATTTTAGATCATACAACTAAATAAATAAATAGAATTTCGATTTCATTACCCAGTCATCATCCCTATTGTCTTACTAAATATAGAATCCAGAAATTTTGCTACATTAAATATTATACAGATCCAATTTTTTATTAATGTATTTTATATTTTCAGAGTGGTTTGACGGAGGCTAGCCGTAAATCGAAGATCTCTCTGAAAGAAGCTGAAAAACAAGTGCTAGAATTTGTTTCCGCACATGTCCCTGAGAAAAAGTGTCCTTTAGGTGGAAACAGCGTCTATATGGACAGGCTTTTTCTTCGCAAATACATGCCCAACTTTGACTTATATCTGCACTACAGAATCATTGATGTGAGCACAATCAAAGAACTAGCAAGGAGATGGTATCAAAAGGAATACTCAACGATTCCAAAGAAAAAATTCCAGCACAGATCTATTGATGATATTTTTGAAAGTATTGCTGAATTGAGGTATTATAGAGATAATATTTTTAAGTTAGAAAATAATACAGATATTGACAATTGAATTATGTTTATATTGATGTTAATTTATTACAGAATAAAATATTACTGAGGTATGATAAAAGGTGTTTCATTTCTGCAAAAGATAATTAGGTGGCAATAAGGATTAGCTGTGTCCAGTTGGTCCAGTGGCCACTGGCTATATCCAATAAAACCCTAATTTAATCAAATTCACCCACCAAGAATTTAATTTTAAGAGAGTGTACGGATTCTCACCAGATGGCGTCACTGCCGCACCCGAACTCCGAAGTACCCGAACCCGAAAGTTAGGCACCGACTCTGGTGATCGTTGAAGTGAAGGGAGGACTCGTTTTGGCGCCTATACCTAGAGCAGAGTTTGGCGCCAATATCGAGTAAGGATCTATTCTTTAACTTTATGGTTCTCTCATGTGCCAGTGGCGCCAACTAGTGAGCGCCAAACACGGTTGCCCTCAAGAAATGAAAAAGCTGAAAAAAGTCGTCTTCAGTTATTTATCTGCTTTATATATTTTGTAAGCGGGTTGCACGTATTTTAAAAAGCAAATCCTTACTTACCAGTTTACCAGATTCAAACTTTTCCTTCCTCCTTGCTTCGACGAACGTCCTCGTAATCTCAGTGAAATGTGATCCCTGCTACAAGTTACGGCTCATTTATGTTTCACCCCGCATTTTCGACGTAAATCCTTATCAATATGACTGTATTAATTTACTTACATAAAGTTTCAGTAAAAAAGCCCGATAGCTCTTTGGGCAGGTGCCTTCTGAATAGTATAAAATCCCTTCTATAAATTATTCCGTTTATTTAACTCTGTTATTTTTCCTTTGTTGATATTATGAGGGTCTGTGTTGTGAATTTCTGGGTGAATGGAGTTCATTCTGGGCCCTTTGTTTTTGTTTTTGTTTTGCGTACCCTTAAATATTTTTTGCTAACAATAAACCTATCTTACTTAGTCCCATTTAGGTCTGTGGCTCAAAATTTAGCATAACAAAGTTTGTGCTATGGGGATTGGCACTCACATAACATCCAATCTACATACCTACCATACTTACTTAGTCACTCGGGCATCATAATCGTGCTCATCATGCTTGCTCTCCACTGGGATCAGAACATTCTCTGCAGTGCAGTTGACGCGACGATGCGTTGCATTGCTAAAAATGTNGATGTTAATTAATTACAGAATAAAATATTACTGAGGTATGATAAAAGGTGTTTCATTTCTGCAAAAGATATTAATTAGGTGGCAATAAGGATTAGCTGTGTCCAGTGGCCACTGGCTATATCCAATAAAACCCTAATTTAATCAAATTCACCAAGAATTTAATTTCAAGAGAGTGTACGAATTCTCACCAGATGGCGTCACAGCCGCACCCGAACCCGAAAGTTCGGCACCGACGCTGGTGATCGTTGAAGTGAAGGGAGGACTCATTTTGGCGCCTATACCTAGAGCAGAATTTGGCGCCAATATCGAGTAAGGACCTATTCTTTAACTTTATGGTTCTCTCATGTGCCAGTGGCGCCAACTAGTGAGCGCCAAACACGGTTGCCCTCAAGAAATGAAAAAGCTGAAAGAAGTCGTCTTCAGTTATTTATCTGCTCTATATTAAAAGCGGGTTGCACGTATTTTGTTGCTCTTATTTTCGTATGAAGCCCTACGATTTACCTCCTAAATATTACCATTCATCAAAATCATCTTATTTGGTCAGATTCAGTAATTTGGTATTTGACATGGTTCATCTGAGGGACCACATTCGGCGAGTTGTAACGTCCAACTTATAACATCTACAAATTTATCATTCTGGCTAAATTTGTTTTAGAGGTTCTGCTAAATCTTTATGTATACGAAACTTCGTTTTCCACAGTGGCCTCTCGAAGGGAGCGCACATCAAATCCTTACTTACCAGTTTACCAGATTCAAACTTTTCCTTCCTCCTCACTTCGACGAACGTCCTCGTAATCTCAGTGAAATGTGATCCCTGCTACAAGTTACGGCTCATTTATATTTCACCCCGCATTTTCGACGTAAATCCTTATCAATATGACTGTATTTACTTACATAAAGTTTCAGTAAAAAAGCCCGATAGGTCTTTGGGCAGGTGCCTTATGAATAGTCCCTTCTATAAATTATTCCGTTTATTTAACTCTGTTATTTTTCCTTTGTTGATATTATGAGGGTCTGTGTTGTGAATTTCTGGGTGAATGGAGTTCATTCTGGGCCCTTTGTTTTTGTTTACGTACCTTTATATATTTTTTGCTAACAATAAACCTACTTATACTTAGTCCCATTTAGGTCTTTGGCTCAAAACTTAGCTTAAATGCTGCGTTTACACTGCGCGGAAATTAGCCAAGTCAAGTCAAAAAAACAGTGGAGTGGGGATGAATTATGAATGAATTTCATCCCCACTCCTCTGTTTTTTGGACTTAACTCGGCTAATTTCCGCATAGTGTAAAAGCAGCATAACAAAGTTTGTGCTATGGGGATTGGCATCCACATAACATCCAATCTACATACCTACCATACTTACTTAGTCACTTCAAGCATGATAATCGTGCTCATCATGCTTGCTCTCCATTGGGATCCCAATACATATCCTCTGCAGTGCAGCTGACGCCGACGCGTTGCATTGCTAAATGTATATTTTTACTACATAAGTAAGTACCTACCTGGTACATGTAAGTTAATTATAAATCCTAGAGCAGCGGTTCCCAAACTTATTTAGTCTACTGCCCACTTTGAGAATAAATTATTTTTTAGCGCCCCCCATTTTTGTAGTCAAGAGTCGAGCACAGTCGGTGTCTAAGAGTCCTCCTAGTAGATGACGCCTCCCAAGCCTCTACACAACGTCCCGATTTTTTTCTGGGTCTCTTACCGCCCCCCTTTAAGCCTGCAGCGCCCACAAGGGGGCGTTATCGCCTACTTTGGGAAAGACTGTCCTAGAGTATCTACGTAGTAGAGGGTTAATAAATAAATTAATTAAACATCTTAGATCCATTTCGTGCAGATTAACGAATCTAATATCCACTACTATTCCGTTTCCTTTTTCCTCAAAACAATTCTGTGGTGTTGTCTTCAATTAACTGGACCAAACGGACTTCGCTAAACAAGCGCCTGAGTAAATAGGTATGAGAGGACATTTACTATTTATTTAGGCATCTAAACTATCTAATTAACGACTAACTGTTAATTTTGCTAAAAGGATCGTCAAGCAACCTGTCGCATTAGAAAACTGCCTCACTAGGGTTACCACCTAAAAGTCCTGAAAGTAACTTTTACATCGTCATGAATAAAAAAAGTGGACTTGTTGTGCGCTGAAAATAAGTTTGAAATAGGTAGAGTGCGAAACTGCGGATAAAAGGAAAGTAGGATTAGGTTATTAAAAAACTAATGCTATCTTTATTTAAAAAAGACTTAGTCAGCACTTACCAAACTGTATCCACGTCAGGACTATTTAATTTAATTTCAAAAACAAATTGGCAACCCTACTCACACTATCCAACCCAGCGCTAATTCCGCACAATGCAAACTCGGCGAATTTCGCGATCGGGCGCTTTTAATTAATTTTCCTTTCAGTTTCCGCCCAACCGATGGTTTTCTCTCTCTGATTTATACGGTTTTCAATCTCTAGGTAATCCAATTCGCAGTTGACTGTCAAGTTTACTTTAAGCAACGTGTTTTCGGGATAGTTAGAGGCAGCTAACTTTCCATGACACGAACTCCGATTGATTAAATAAAGCGGTTAATTAGGTATTTACTCGTATAGCTAAAGTTTTAAGTTCGTTCGTTTCAGCCAAATGACGTCCACTGCTGGACAAAGGCCTCCCCCAAGGTTTTCCACAATGAACGGTCCTGCGCTGCCCGCATCCAGGCTCTTCCCGCGACCTTTACCAGATCGTCGGTCCACCTAGTAGCAGTTCATCAAAGTTTTAAAATTACGGACTGAACCTACTCAACTGTGAATGAGATAGGTACATGAATGTAATACATACCTTCCTGTAAGATTAAGAAAGGCGCCTAGTTCAGCCTCAAAGGAGGCCTATGTTCAGCAGTGGACGTCCTATGGCTGAAATGATGATGATGAAGATTAAGAAAGATAATATGTAAAAATAAAATAGGTTACGATATACCTACATCCGATAAAGGTATTTAAAAATTCCTTGATTCACAAATCACCATAACAGATCGCCATTTCTTACCATCATCAATTGCGTTCTGTCACGGGATCCAACCTTTAGGTACGTAGGTAATTTGGAGGCCCGTAAATCTAACGAAGGGTTTACAACCAAAATTCGTTCAATGGGAATAATACAGGCTTATTGTTTCCGGTTTTAGCGGATTTAGAAAAATTAAATTATTATCTACAAGCATATTCAAAAACTTATCTACAAATTAGCGGGCCGGAAGACGTAGCGTGGGCAGGCCTCCCACTAGTTGGACCGACGATCTGGTGAAGGTCGTGGGAGAGCCTGGATGCGGGCGGCGCAGAACCGGTCGCTATGGGAATCCTTGGGGGATGCCTTTGTCCAGCAGTGGACATCATTTAGCTGAAACGAACGACGAACGAACTTATCTACAAGCTCGTATGCCCACTCTTAGAATTTAAAAACTTTAATCATAATTCATAATGTATTCTATCATCATAATATTAATATTAATGTATTATATTATCATCGCAAGTCTCCGTAACTAAGACATTATGGACTCAAAATTCCACCAAGTTTAGGGTCGGAAAACTTTGGGGCGAACACAGGAAATTAAACGTAGGTACCTTACAATGTTATGTATTCAACCCAAGATAATGTATTTCACGTCTAATAAATAACATAAGTAAGTTAAGTAAAGTAGATAGGTCATAAGGATTAAGACAGTTTAGGCTGGGTTGCACCATCTTACTTTAACTTTGACAAACGTCATACAAAAAACACCGGTTATCGCTATAGGTAGTCTAGTTATGGTCAAAGTTAGGTGGTGCAGCAACTCAGCCTTAGTTACGTTCAAAACCACGTTAAAATCTTGTAGGTACTTAACTTATCCGAGTCATCAGAATATTGCAAAAGATTACTAGGTATAATGTTTTTAGATATACAAATTACAACCATCATACGACCTATTCTATTCTTATCATGCCCTGCCTGATGCCCATATAATAGCCACCATTATGTACTTACCTTAATGTATTTTCATGATAAAGTTTTACTATGAACGTTATGTAAACTGCTTCCTTAATAACAACCGATGAATTCAGTTTGCTTCAGTATTTAGGTCGTCAAGTATATTCCACTGGAGATAATAAACAGGTAAGTAGATCATAATCATCATAAGGACTTGGACAGTGTTTCTCAAACTGTTACTGTATTGCCCCACCTGTATGTAACATTGGGCTTATTCCTAGTTTTAATAGACATACACCCGTATTCGAAAACATTACTATGAGGTCTCACAGTGCGCGTGGACGCACAGAGCTCTATTCAACGCTGTGCGTTCGATTTGCTGCTTCACTTAAACTAGCATCATTTGTGAATACGGGCGATAGAGTCACCTATTGTTTGGTACAATTTCTATTGTTAACTAATTAAAGATCTATTAATTATACATAGTATCGAAGGCGCCTATAAAGACCGCTTAGCGACGCACTCAACCCTTTCATGTTCACAAAGGTCAGGCACCTTCACCGGTATAACGGTAATATGGTTAGCAATAATTTCAGGTCAGATTCGTGCAGAAAGCGATCAAAGGAATATTGGTGACCAATGAACTAAACAGGGTCACTGAATTTTACATGAGCGAGCACCCGAGTGCGGAGTCAAATATTCAACGACGCACATTACAGGGTGTATTAATATTCTACTATTAAGCATCTCATGTAACAAGTCTCTGAGAAATTGCTAGAAATTGCCGTATGGTAAGTAACCGAAAGTTGAGTACTTAAAATATTTTTACTTTGTGGTAATTTATGTAAAAAATAAAACATAAAACCATGTGAAATGTGAACCAAACCATCAATGTGGTCACCTCCTTGCCCGTAAAAATGTCGACACTTGCAGAATGGGTCGACATTTTTACGGGCAAGGAAGTGACCACATTGATGGTTTGGTTCACTGGGTTTTATGTTTTAATTTTTTATCGTAGGATATTTTTTTTTTCACGGGGAAAATGGGAAAAAAGTAGGTTTTAGTAGGAAAAACGAGTGTTTTTCAGGAAAATAAAAGTGTTGTCTTGCCATGTTTAATAAAAAATTGTTCTATCTACCTACACAGGCTTGGTGTGCTAAGCAATATAAATTGCAAACCACTGTGAAAACCCTTTAACTAGGTAGGCACTGCTTATTTTCCTGTACAATGCCTCTACCTTTATGCCTTTACTGTGTAACTTTCAGTGATACGGTACCACAGATTAGACTAAGTACCTAGTTTGTAGAGCACATTGTGCAAAATAGGTACAATAGGTACGAACGGGTCTGAATTTCGTTTTCATGTCCCAGTAAAGCTGAAGACGAGCTTCAGGCGTATAGCTTTTCAATAATTACATGTCACCTGTAAGGCCGTATCCATGAAAACATACAAAAGAGAACAAGGTCGATATGTGTTTCAAATACAAAGCTCATTATGTTAGTTTAGTATGTTTTTGGACGACAAAGCGGCTGTGTATTTGTGAATGTGTATTCACCACAAATGTGTCTGATTTAATAGAAAATTAAATGTGTTCTATGTTGGTTTCACACTGCGTGTTAATTACAATTTAATAACATAATGTGTGTTTAACTTGATAATTCACTACATTGACGTAGTTTTACCATGGTTTAACGCTTGAAACATTAATTTCTCATACAAAGTTATGATTTAGGGTAATAAAACCCATAGATAAGAATCGGAGTAATGAACGCTAGTTTCGTTTGATGGTTGGTGTAAAGGTTAAATGTAGGTAATTTAGTTACCCTTTCTTTGGGAGTTAATGTAGATAGGTACAGTCGAGTTCATAAATATTATTGGCAGTGCTAATTTCAATATACCGCAACATATTGATGAAGTTTATATGATTACATTTCATTTCATGTTTGAGTTTATATTGACATACATTATGCTACGAGTATGTTAAAACGCTACAATATTTTGAAACATGCCAGTATATTTTATATATTTATGAACTCGAGTCAAAAGATAAACAAGATTTTTACTTTTTTAACTAAATTTATTCCCAAAACTATTTTTTTTAGAAACCCTACATTTTAAGTCCAGGTCCTTCACTGTTTTTCTCCAGACAAATGCGGAAGGTGTCTAAATAGGATCAAAAGTTTCTCCAAATATTCGTATTGAAGATAAATCAATTACAATTTCAACGATCAATTTAAAATTTGACAGTATGTAATAAGATGTATTCTAACATTTAACTAATTGTTCTAAACACAATAAACATTTCAAATATCTAACACAAATAAGATTGGTTTTAAATGTTAATATTTCCTAATTTCCTTTTTACATTTACTTATAAGGATTATAATATTTTATTGATGAAACAACACTATCTATTAACTGTGTCGAGCATAAAATATTTGTATGGCACTTGTAAGCATCATATGATGCAATAAGCTAAAAAATTGGAATATAACTCATAAGACATAGATTATTATAATAAAAGTATTATTATTCGTGTTTGGTCTACAACGAGACTACTGTAAGTGCCTTTTTCATGTGGTGCGAATTTCGGCACGCGTGCGGATCTTGAGGGCTGTCCGCATTTCGTTATGTCATACACGTTTTCCCTATAAGGCGGGCTACACGCACGCAATCAGCACCGTGATTTTATACAGGATGTCCCAAAAATTAGTGTCAAGCCGAAGCCCAGTGGTGGTAGAGCATCACTAGGGCTATCCAAAACACCCCCATGAATGTTCCGCGATTTTCGATAGTTTTCGAGTTATTTTGGTACTTTTTTTAATCACTGTAACGCGAATAGTCAAGTTACATGCCTGATTTTTTTATGATTATTAGATGAATACGAGGCCTAGCTGATTCAGATGTATTTACATCCATAACACGAAAGTAAACTAAAATCCTGTATGTTGCAAAAAAAAAAAACATAACTCGAAAACTATCAAAAGTCACGGTGATTTGGGTAGCCCTAGTGATGCTCTACCACCACTGGGCTTCGGCTTGACTCTACTCTTTAGGACAACCTGTATACGCACGCCACAGATTAGAAGAACCGCAAGCGTGCCGAAATTGGCATCACAGGAAAAAGGCACTAAAACGACTATTTCAAGCTGGAAGATGGCTATGGAAGTTCCGCTTAAATTATCTATAGGTATAATCTAATGATATGGCTGCGATCATATTAAATTCGACGTTGCGTTTAGTCAATGAAAAACTGGGGTTCTAAGAAGCCGGCACGAAATTATAGTTCGTAAAGTATAACGATAATAGATATTGTTGAACAAATTCCTATGCTAACGATCAAAAGTTTGTCGAGGCGATATTACAAACCCTCGCCAGCTTTCATACTTACTTCCCAACTCGTAATTGCGTATTTACCTTGTTATACAAAAGTTTCACGCTATCGTCTTCAATATTTTGCTCGAGACACGATCAGCTGTTAAAATATATTATAATACTTACAATTTATTCATTTAGGTACACTTTATACGCGCTCGTTTTTAAAACTCACTAGAAATTATCAGAAATCGATTTTTGGTCTTACAGCTATAACGACTAGTAGTAGAATAAAATGCATTGATCACAACACATCACTCGGTAACTGTGTACCCAGATTGTTTATAATATGATTATAATATAGATACAAAGATATAGATAATGTTAATAATATGCAAATATAATACATACTGAAACAGAAAATAATATAACGTCAGACTTGTTATAATAATAATTTGGCATAATTTGTATCAAAATGATGGCCCACGCAGTTATTTTCAAAATACATTAGTAAGTAATAATAATAGTTTTAAATACTATAAAGTCAATACAAAATAATTTGGAAATTTATTAGAAATAGGTATGTAACAGTAGGTACATGAAATTAATCCTAATAGGGAGTAATTAACTACTGCTATTTATATTTTTTTACATTTAACACTACCTATTTGATACATGATTACAATTCTTAAGGTCTCAATATCTACATAATAGTTATTTTTAACTAAATCATAAGAATAACGTAAATAACCAGTCTGAATAATATTGAAGTCTCTTAATCGGCATAGTAATTAAATAAATGCAACAACACAACAAGTCAACAATTGATAAGGCGCAGACTGTAAACAGTAATCGAACTAGTAAGATAAAAGTATACAGACACTAGTTTCAGATAAAGATTTATAATTATAAATATAATTTTCGTTAATCTCGTTACCTGAAAGAGGTATTCATATTAAACATTTAAATGTGAAAACATGTTAATGGTTATAAGTTTTCTAAAATGTTAGTCTACATAGTTTCTACACTGTATTGTTTTCCTTGTAAAATAAAAATAAAAATAAAATAAAATAAAATATTATTGCCGTCCACCGTAATAGCGGCCGCACCGGTCTGAAGCGGCTCAGCTGATTCATATCACATTTAATACTACGTAACGTTGAACTTATTCGCGCACGAAAACAAATTCGTTGTAGTGATTCCAACGATTCTCCTCCGAGTCGACACCCGGCTTGAGCTCGGCTGCACCGCCGGCCGTGCCGCTGCCACAACTTGCAGTCAGTTTGAAACCGTTCTCTTGCAACATGTCGAACGCTTGCTCGATGAACGAGTGCTTCAGGAAGAACCGCGATGTGTACCGATCTGCGAGACCGTGGTCCGGATCTCGGGACTCGTTCAGGGTTTCACCGAAGACATCACGGCACAGCGTCACTTTTCCACAGACTAGAATACGGGACAACTTGCGGAACTTAACATCAGCGAGGCCGTCGCGGCCGAACGCGAAGCTGCCGCGGTAGCCGACGGTGATGCACCCGCGCTCACGATTTGGAGGTCGAGGATCCGCTTCTCGAACTGCACTCTCCAGCCCGGCAAGGCGGTAGTGTTTCGCTTCCCGCGCTAGACGTTTATGTTCCCTGAAGCACTCGGGAAGCACGAGTCCACCGTCTCTGAGATAATCGAGCACATAACGGAAGAGAACTCCGTCACGGTCGAAGAAAATGCGTCCGCGAGCGTCACGCGGGTGGTCTGCATCGCGCAGCGCGGCGGCGGGAAGCGAGTCGGGTTCGCGGAGGAGCGTGTCGCGCGTGGTGGCGTAATGCACGCCGCCCACGTTCAATTCGAGGACCTCGGGCGGCGCGTCCGCCATGGCTGAAGGCTGAGGGCGCAGTGACTCGGCGGCTGCGCGCTCCCGCTTCCCACCCTGACCCACTTACCGCGCGTCTCAGCGCCGCCGCCCGCGCGAACCCATCAATAACGCACGCCCGGGTTACTGACTCGAACGTAATTATTTCCTACCCTTTCGAGCGAAAACTCCTCGGTAAAAGCCTTCAAGGTCAACATCTATTGTTGGCTAACACATGGCTTTGTTCACCAATATCCCGGAATCTTCCGATAACGGCAACACACCAGATTGATTACAAGCGGCGCACTAGCTATAATAGCGCTTTAGTATAACATTATCTGTACTGCAAAAACTTTGGAAACTCTTGAAGTTTGGGGAAAGTCGTTAAAAATAATACGATGTGTCTCCCAGGGCTCAAGTGAAAAGTTTTAATTATGTCGTCCCTTTAAATACTGTTGAACGCGACTTAATTCGAGGAGATCACGTTACACATGGGTTCAGAACTTTTGAAGTTTGTGTAATTATACTTGGAAATTGTTACATAAAGAGGGCCTATGTGTTAGTGTAGTAAAAGAAAATGTTACATTTCAAATGTGATCTCGAGGCAGAGTTTACCCGAAAGAAAGTGCTCCATCCATCTTAGGTACACGCGGTACGATTATGTATAGACGTTAACGCTGGAAAGATCTTTTCCAATCCATTAGCTTGTAACACATTGGTTTCCAGCGGGCGCGTTCGGCGGTTAATTACTCAGACAATGAAGAATTGGGGTTATTGTATGTTCAGCCAATATTACGTCCCAAAGTGGTTAATGAAGTAGACGCTCGCAAAATGTTTCGCTCGTTAGTTAGGGTGGGTGGCGAGATATAGATTTGTTATTTTCGCGGAGTGTTTCAAATAGCTTCTGGCTGATAAATAGAAGATTCTATTAAATCCGACTAAATGTTTGCGTTGGCAATACAACATTCGCGTTGTATTACGGAATCTCTGTTCAATCAATCGAAACATCCGGCATGGAATGGTATTCGAAAATCTCCAACGTGTAGTTTGGAGCTTAAGAAGTTTTATGTTTAGGAATTAATGATACGAGCATCTTCCTGGACTTTAAAGTTCACTATGATCTTTGTTCCGAATCTATGNTTCGAATCTACTGTTTAAAGTTATTGTTCGTGTCAATGGGTAGTTAACACCATTGTGTTTGAAAGCAGACCGTAGCAAGTAGTGGTTTCCGCTGAACAGAATGGCTGCTACAGCCAGGGTTTTTGCTCGTTACAAGAGTAATTACTGGGGGCCTTTTAGTGCGGCCTCGGGAAATAAGCTTTTGTATTCTACACATTACTGAGGACGCGAGAGGGAAATGTAATTAAAAATTTCCACTACGTAACTTTTTGTTTATCTCGCCCATCTAATTACTGGCGCAAATAAATAATGCTCTGTTTATGAAGGAAATCCGTGCGGTATGTTTGACAAAGGTTTCCTCAAAGGGTGTTAAATTTATTACCATGATTATAATTAAAGATGAGACGCAGGTTCAAACGATGCTTATCGCAAAACATTAAAAGGACATCAAACAGCAAATTATGAAAAGGGCTTTTGTTTACGCTAACTTGGAGGTGGCTCGTAAATGAGTTATTTGATTTGAATAATAAACGAACATAATATTTTAAATACATCAATTTATTCATATACAAACGAAACTACCTTCTAGGTATACTAAAAAGAAATTGCATTGAAATAAAATACAAGATTTACGATGTACCTAAATAAATTAGGACACCAAAATAATACTAGAGAGCACTCGGAGTCGGCACATTAACCTATTTGCTCTTTAGTTCATGCTCTTAAACTAGACGGCCATACACTTCAAAGGGAAGATTAACAAGCTAAGGGACTTACATATTCATATGTAGGCACTCAAGTAACATTCCTTCTCAAATTATTATCACAAGGGGCACGTTAGCTGTAGATTCACAAAACTAGCGAGCGTGGGTGAGAATATTATAGTCTATAGGCGTTTGAATTACTATATTTTGCGGTACTAATACTAGACTAGCTTTTATCTACAGTTCCCGCGTGAAATTCAGTTTGTCTCAGATCATATTTCTCAGTCAGGTAAGTATTATGCTTTTTCAAGTAAATTCTTATTCTTTATCAAGCCACACTCGCTCATTTATTAACGGACAAACTTCATTTTACTAATAAATTATAATTTAATCTCTCTTTTCCCTAATAATACTGAAATCATCGAAGGTGTATTCATCGATTTCCTTCTGGTTTCTAAATTCCGCTTTATCTATTTGGCTGCTAGGGCTTCCAGTGGATTTGAGCCAGTGCATCCTGAAAATACAAAATCATGCCTAATGTTTGGGCCAAGGGCGGAGATATTCTGCTAATCAGATTAAGCGCAAAAAGCCATTTGTGTCAGAGGCCACAAAATTTATTTTGGCTTTTATCCGATTGCTTCTGTTAATGGTATAATCAGTGGCGTAACTGCAAGGTGACAGCTAGGGATGGCGAAACGCCAAAGGCTCTAAGGTAAAGTTAAGGTTTCTTTGGGATTTTTACATGAACTTAGGACTCATAAACTTTTCTCCCTAAGTATGTCTAATAAAATAGGTCAATTTCCAAACTGTTTCATAAATTACTTCTTACTTTTGTTTCAGGACAAAATATCTAAAATCAGAAATTTTCTTACTTAATAGATACCAAATAACCGATCTAACATTTGTTTGGGGCCATAAGACTAAAGTTTGTGAACCTATGACATTTTTTTCAATAGTATTTAATAGTGAAATGATTATAAGTGACTTACATAGTTTCCACCTTGTCTGTTGGCCCTTGCATGTGCCCGAGGACTGTGCCTTGGCTGGTATTCTTGCACCAGCCACGCAGACCAAGCTTGTCCGCTTCTTGCTTTGTGTGCTGCGAAAATAATTGAAAATGAGTTCCAAAGGTTCAAATAATTCGTAGCGACGACCTCATAAAGGTAGTTACTAACTGGGCGATGTGGAAATCATTAGGGGAGGCCTATGTTCAGCAGTGGACGTTCTGTGGCTGAAATGATGATAATGATGATGAATTCGTTGCGAGTTATTTCTCGACTGGAACTAGAACATCCCCTCCGATATTTCTTTGTGTAGATAACAGGTTCTCAAACTTGTTGTGATTAATGGCCACATAGCTAAAATATTGTTTTAAGGGCAAGAAAGTAAAGTTTGTCTGGCTACATGCAAGGCAAACATACCTAGTTTATTTGCATGAATGCGTCGACTTAACGCATACGCGAGTGGGATGGGATACAGGATTACAGGAACACTAGGAACGATTACAACGATATGATTTAAAAACAGACTACCATTCTAAAGTTAACTCCTTGCACTACTCCAAAAATTTCAAAATAAAGGCAATGTAAAGACATTTAAAGTCGAATTACACTAAATCGCAATAAATTAAGCCTTCGAGGCTCACACAAAGCTCGTTAGTCACGTAAATGCCAATGTCATTTTGTATATATTTTTTTTTATTTCAGGGATGATAGGGCGAAGTTTTGAATTTAAGGATGATTATGCGTAGGGTTTCACATTCGGGAAAGATTGAGCGAAGGGTTTCGTATTAATTGGGGAAGATTCAGCGAAAGAATGCAAATTGGGGGCCGGTTTCTAATTCGGAGCAGATTTCCCATATAGGAAAGATTATGAGAAAGCATTTAATTTCGTATTAGGGGGAGATTAGGCAGAGGGTTTCGCATTTAGGTGAGATTGGGCTCAGGTTTTCCCGAACGGGGTAGATTTTCCCATTCGGGAGAGATTGGGCGAAGGGTTTCGCTTTTGGGGAAGATAGGGTGAAAGGCTCCCCATTTGGAGAAGCTTGGATGAAAGGTTTCCCAGTCGGGGCACATTTTGAAAGGGTTTTGCAATCGGGAAGGATTGGTCGAGGGGTTTCGCATTAGGAAGATTGGGACGAGTTTCGGATTTAGGGCAGACTGGGCGAATGGTTTCGCTTTTGGGGAAGAGTGGGTGAAATGCTACCCATTTGGGGAAGATTGGGTGAAAGGCTACCCATTTGGGGAAGATTGGGCGAAGTGTTTCCTATGCGGGAAAAACTTGGCTATCGCTTTTTGGTTTTTCTATTTGAAATATTTACAATATCGCTTTTTTGCAAAAAAAAAATAACATAAAGCCACACCTTGACATGGGTTACCTACGCCATATCGAATGACAAATGATCGAAAATCAAAATATCGAATACGTTTCATCGAACGATCAAAATATCGAACGATCAAAATATCGAATGCTCAAAATATCGAACGTTCAGAATATCGAACGATCAAAATATCGAAATATCAAAATATCGAACGATCAAAATATCGAAAGTCGATATAGACGTTTTGCTCCTAATTTACAATAAACAGATTTTTTTTTAAACTAAGGCAAACTTAACTCTAAACAAAATAAAAATATAAACTTATTTTACTCAAAAATGGGACATTATTCTTTAAATTTATAAACTTTTCAGGCACAAAAATACTTAAGGCACACATTAACTGGCAAAACAAAACTGTACGACCAAACACAACCATGCACCGGAGCCGAGCAAGGTAGATTAATTAAATAAAAACGTCTATATCGACTTTCGATATTTTGACCGTTCGATATTTTGATCGTTCGATATTCTGAACGTTCGATATTTTGAGCGTTCGATATTTTGATCGTTCGATATTTTGATCGTTCGATATTTTGATCGTTCGATGAAACGTATTCGATATTTTGATTTTCGATCATTTGTCATTCGATATGGCGTAGGTAACCCCCTTGACATGGAATGGACTAGGCCCATTGATGATTGAGTATTATAATACCACCTCAATTATTAAAAACTGAATGCTGATAAATGACAATAATCAAGAATATTTTATTTAAGATTCATGATCAAGGTTTGCAATAACCAGTAGCAGTTATCAGCGCCTTACTATTGAGAAACATCCTCAGATAGACTTTTGTTTTATTTATAAGTTGCAAGAAGGATAGGCTGGTGTTTCAGAAGTTAGTTTCTCCCAATAATTATAAAATGGAAATGAAAGTAAACTGAAATGAAGAATAATGTGATTTTATAGAAAATATTTTCAACCTGCATTTCAGAGATAACAGGTTTTGTTAATTTCGTCTCTTCAAAATAATGGATAGAAGTTTTTACTATTTTGTGGCTATTAATCTCGGTGCGGTGACGGCAGCGTTGAATACATTAGTCACCAACTCTTCTTGCGGGTGTTGTAAGAGGCGACTTAGAGACTACACACTGAACAGAGAACGAGCAGCAGCACTCTCTGATTAACATTAATCTATTAAATTTCCAACCTGTCTGCGCATAGTCCAGCAGTGGACTGTAAAAGGCTGTGATGTGAGATGATACTAATAACAAAACTATTTAACAGAATAAAATACTTTTAAATGAAGCTTTTTAATAAGTTAGATTGATGATAAAATACTAAGGGATTACAGTAATGCAACATAGATGATAAATTATTGTCACATTTTTATCTAAAAGCGACCCCTGTAAATTTTATCAGACAGTTCAGATATGTTAGTTTTCAAGTGGAAAACACATAGGAACTGAATTAGGTATTTTGGTAAAAATCTTTAATGCTACATGACCTATCTTTTACCTACTTCTTAACCAGAATTTAGGTAAGTATTGTGGCGACGCCACTACAAACTAGTGACCAACAGATGGTGCTGTTACTACTTTACTATGGCACACTCCGCCGCTCATACAAACCTGCATCGCGGTGACGGAGTTTTATATCCTGCCCAGCATAATGTGTATATTACATAGGAAAACCAAGATGGTAGAAATTGGACCTTGGTCCCCGAGCATAACACCCGCTCGGAAGGAAGCACTAACATCTAGCTTCCTTATTGTGGTTGAGCATCATATCCCCACAGTATATTCTTAACCATAATCTAGCTCTAGTTATTACTATTAGTAATATTGTTTACTTAACTTACCTTTCGGAAAAATACACCTTGCACCCGGCCGAACACCTCAAAATCAGCGGCTTTCATGGTGGTGGCTACAGTGGCTGCTGTACTGCACTCTGCTCTGAACACGCTAGTCACCGTAGTTAGAATTAATAGACGAAACATTAGAGGCAAAACTGTACAGCTATATTATGGTTATTTATTTAATCAAAGCTTTAAAATCAATTTCGAAATCCAGAACTTTTCTTAGGAAACGTCATTAACGTCATCACGCACGCAGGAAAAGTCCGTCGGTCGGTTTCACAAAAGTAGTATTTAAATTTTAGTAAATGTTCCTTTGTTTTAATAAAATAAAATCTGTTATGTACATAACTGTAGGCTTATTACTATTTAAGCACAAATATATTTTATTATTTCATTAATTGTTCAGGATAAATTGATATTTTGAAGCAATTATTATAGCATTCGTTCTTTACGCACTACAATTTTTGTGGAACGGAACATACAGCTGTCGTAGTGAGTGAGCCTTGCGTGCTGGCTGTCAAACAAACTGTCAAATTGTACTTCGTCAGACTCAGTGGTGAGTGTATTTTGTTTGTTTTTACTAAAAAATAGACTATAAATAGTGTTTTAAACAGTTATTCGTGTGTGTTGCAGAAGCCTACGACGTAATAAATAGTACATTTACAAATAAACAATGGCGTTCTACAGCTGCAGCAGGTTAGTTGGCAAACATTATGTAATAGGGTTAGGTTGTTTTGGTTGTTAGTATTTGGCTGATTTTACTGTTTAATTCTTTTAGGTTAGGCACAAAGTCTTTGCTATCAACTTTAGGCAGGTTTCCTGCTACGTTGAGCTCTGTGAACTACGCCCAGGCAGCGGCTGGAGTGCCTAAAGTGACTTACAAAAAGTTTGAGCCTCCCCAACTTGAGCATCATGATGTCAGAAACGAACGACTCAAGCGCCCCATGTCCCCACATCTGACCATCTACGCCCCACAGTTGACTAGCATGACTAGTATCACACATAGAGCTGCAGGTATGTTCAACTTGATTCCATACTTTTGCAATTTGCAAACTTGTTTACTTTGACATTATTTGCAGTGATAAACTCTTAACAATATTTTATTACCATTATTTTATGACTATTTTATACAGTCAACAGCACATCCACTATACATTTTTGTTGCAAAATGACACTTATTACAATGATGTTAGATGCCACAATGTTTGGCTTAATGTGCTGTTGTTGGTACCTAAGAAAAGGTTATTAATGTTTGTGACTCTAATCATAATAATGCAATAACTTACTCTGAGTGATTTAGTTGTGCAATAGGTAGGCAATAATTTTCATTCTAATGAGAATGAAAGGTGCCATGATACTTTGATTTAGCTACTACAATAATAGTAAAATATTTTGTATTCATAATACTCAATAGACACTATCAGTAAAGTTTCAGTATAATTCTAAATTTTTTAACAATTGAAATTTTGTCCTATAGGTATGATTCTCTCTGGATATGCCAGCGTTCTTGGTATCGGAATCTTGGTATTGCCAAACGACATTTCTCACTACATCACCATGATCGAAGGCCTCAACCTGTCCCCAGCGACACTTTTCTTAGCAAAAGCATTAATCGCAGCCCCTCTTGGATACCACTTTGCTAATGGTATCAGACATCTCTACTGGGACACCGCCAAAGGTCTAACAATTAAGGAAGTTTACGCTACTGGATACGCAATGCTGGCAGCATCCGTTGTAATAACCCTGATCTTAGCTGCATTATAAGTCTCACTCGGTACAAAACAAAACTACATGATATGGGTATTATTTATTTATTATCATTACCATTATAAGCGATGTAATTAAAATTCATAAATTCAGACTTTTGTTTTTGTCATTCTTACCACTAATTTGTTAGTCACACCGGGAATTGTGGCTTAAAACTATAATTTACATATGAAAAGTTTTTAAGCGACTCCGCAATTGTTGATAACATCATGTATTGCCTTGAATTTCTCGAAGTCCATTTTTTCTGTAGTTTCCAAGCCCTTAGCAGCATTCTGCAATAATAAATATTAGGAATGTGATTATCTCAGATTGTAAGAGTTAAATAGATTTAAAATAAATAGACAATAAATAAATCTGACAAGAATTAAAACAATAACATGAGTTTTTACTATTGTGGAACCACTAACACAGACTGTACTCACATTGAAAATAACATTATTATTCTTCAAGTATTCTCCGTAAATGTTGAATAGATCAGTTCTATCAGCCAAAAGTTGTGCTAGACTCAACGGAGTGTGGGCTATGGAGACGTCTGACAAGAAGTCTTTAGCTGACAACCAGGTTCTTGAGGGGGCCATGGCGATGTTGCAAGTTTCGAAGTTCTCAAACCAGCTCGTGCCACCTGCATCTTTGTTTAAGCAAAGCAACAAGTACTTTGACTTGTCAAAGTTTGGTAAATCGGCACCTGTAAAAAAAATTCCTTCGTTATGTAGGTAGGTGAAGTAAAGGCGACATCTAAGTATTTTTACAAAAATGTATTTACAAAGAGGTTAAAGTGGTAATTAATTTCAGTTTTCGTTATTACAAAAATCTTTACAATCTTACTTGATACGAAAGCGACGTCAGCACGGTTTTCTTCAAGGCACTTCACTGGGCTGTTATCAGTGGAGCACTGCTTCTTCAGATTTGAGACATCGTCACCTGCAAGAATAATTTTATTAAATGGAATATCTCAATTTTCTCGGGAGCTTCCCAAGGGCGTACTTTTGGTCCATTATCTTTAAGTATTCTTCAGAAGTTCATATCAATCCTCTTTTTATGATATTTAATAAACTTAAATCTCAATAATAAATTGATTAAACTTACCACGTGGATTGTTTTCGGCTTTGTCAACACCTGGCAGACAGACACCGCCAGAGAAAAAGTCGCCAAGGTTTTTGATACACTGAAAATGAAGCACATTGAGTGAGAGAACATTTTGATAAGCTTCCCAATAATTTATCCGATAGCTAGCAGCAACTTTATGCTGCCGAGTTTCGTGTGTATTTATAATGCAACTCAATAGATTCCAAGCTTTTGCAATACATTGAAGTGCACTACTCTCTAAGATAGGTTCTTTGAAATATTCAGTACCTAGGTTCGGTTCGAACTATAAATTGCAAGCGTTCGGAGGAAGCTAGATTGGTATGTTTTGATGGTCTAGCCTGGAATACTTAAGTAAAAGATGTTAGGTAAAGTACCTACTAGAAACATTGCTCATACATACCTGATCGGGGTTGATGAGTTTTTTGTTGATTAGGTAGAACAAGGGTGCGTCCAGACCGCTGAAGCTTCCGTAGGGATTGTGGCAAGATCTGTAACAGATAATTTTTAAATAATATTGGCTAAGTAACCAATTGACTCTACTAAATGTGTAGATGTTACATACAACCGTTGTTCACATGCAAATGGTTGCTAGACTTACAGAAATAGGCTTAATCTAGGCGCAGACCATCGATTTTTCGTCGGCTGATAGTTTAGTCGGGCTGTCCATCAGTATGGGCATGTATGGAAGTGCGCACATTACACCGATTCAATTTGGCTGATTGTTCATACAATTTAAAATCTGGCATAACTATCGGCCAACTATAAATCGGTGGTTTGCCCCTAGTCTTAAGCTTTACTTACTTTAATCAAAATTTTAAATCGATGTAGCCTTTTACTGATGGATTTCATCTAAGACCTTCAAATTTTGAATAGACATTCGTGTACTTTTACAGTTCTCCCTCAACTCTATCTTATTTAAATAACGAGGTCCCGTGTGAATCACTGAAAGCTACTTTGCATACTTTACTCACTACTCTGCTTTAGAATTCGTTGAAACTTTCGTCAGAGAATGGTAATTTTCTGTAGATAAGGTTTTACTGTTTGAGTTATCATCAATGTTGCAGCTTTATTTACATAGTCCATAGTCCATTTCGTAATATGACCAAGCCCACAAATTTTGTTATTCTTTAAAAGTTGAGAGAGACTGAAAGTTGTTTTGAAGAAAATTATAGAATGTAGGTAACCCTTAGATTAATAAAGTTCGTTCATTTGTTCGTATCAGCCAAATGGACAAAGGCCTTTCATAAGGACTTCCAAGATTTTTTAAAATTAAGTAAAGGATTTTCCCAAACTAATTTTTTATACCCATGCGGCCATCTTTTTCCAAGTTTAGCGTTTCTACTACCTAAATTGGACGTTCTTGGTTTGTGAAATCAGAGTCCTGTAAACCCGTAAGGCGTCTTACCGTTTGCTTTCTCTTCTCGGTATACACGGGTGTTGTATTTCTTGGCTGCAGCTGCGACTCTTGAGTCGTCTACCGAAGCAGTCTGAGTTATTCTTTTAAATTTTTAAGCAAATGACTTACCTTTTGCCCCTCAAATCCTCCATCTTTTTGATACTGGAGCCTCGCTTGACGACAGCAACGGCGTAGTTAGGCTTCTTCTTCTCGCCATACACCTCGTGGAACACCGCGTGGAGATTGTACTTCTTGGCTGCGGCTGCGACTCTTGAGTCGTCTACCGAAGCGAGATCCGAGCCATTGTCTTGCACCTGTGCATGGGGTTTTTATGTGAAACGGTCTGTTTATGTAGCAGTTTGGTGGGTTTGTTCCTGTCCTGGTAAAGCTTGCCTATGAGATATCTACGTTCAGAATTTTATTCAGATAACAATTATAAGGGTTCTGGTATGTTAGAGAAGTCTCTCGTTCAGTGGTGACCAAACGACATGGTAGGTATAATAATGAAGACGATCTCAAATTCCCCTTGTCTAGCTGTAGAGTTAAACGAAGAAAATGAATCTGCTCGATTTTTGTGAGAATAGGTATCTACTACGTAGGTACGTACACATAGGCAAGGGATAAGTGCTATTTTAGGAATACCTTAGGAAACTTAAACTTAGGAAACTGGTCCGGTTTCTGAATTGAAAATTTCAACTCGCTCAAGGGGTTAGGCCTAAATGACAATACAAAATAAAATCTTACGTTCTTTAGACAGTCGGCCTCCGACGCCTCCTGTATGCAGTCCAGTTGGGGTCTGATGTCGCGACTGAAGGCGAAGACGGCCATAGCGCGGCACTTCGCGAGAGCCACGTTGGAAGTTACGCAGAGCCTAGGAATATAAGTGTAGAGTTAGAGATTATTATAAACCCAACCCAAATAATTTGATCTAAATAGACAGACTACTGTAAGTCTAATTTCAGCAGCAAAAGCCAAATTAATTGACCGATCTGCTGTTACTGTTACTTACTATTCGCAAGTGAAAAGGTTTTTAAAATCTATTTTATGGGATAGATCATACAAAAACTGTATTTGATCACCAGAATCATTCCCTTTTGGATTTATAATCCGTTTAATTACTTAATTCTGGGTAGCGATGTGTCATAAATACTTACCTAAGTATTCTATTAGGATTAGGATCTCGGGACTAATGCTATCAATATCTCCAGACATAACTTTTGAACTACGGACTTTGAAGCATATTACTGCTATAACTTTTCGTTACATATTAGGACTAGGTACTGTAGGATTGCCGAAAAGATTTATTCTCTTTATATTCACCTGAAGCCCCTGAAGTTGAAATAGTCCCTCCGAGCGTGGGAAATTTATTCCCAGTTTAATTACGTCCCTCGCTAGCCTCCCTGTTACATGGAAAGTTGGCGTAGTTTACTACCATTGTAGGCTTTTACGGAGGTATGCGACGTGAAATAGGACTTGTTTTAGGCGTGGATATTAAGTTTGGGTTTCTAAAATTGTAATAACCTTGAAAATACGTAACTTAACAACAGTTATACGCCTAGGGTACCTACGTTGCAGTCTAACGTAACGATGCAGCGATGTCTGTCGATATTTCTTAAAGGTATTTTGGTACTTGTTTTAGAGTAGGTCTCTAACTCAAAGAAGTTGTGTCTTGTTTGCCTAAATACCGTGATTGTTACTGTAGGTCCGTCAAGCGCACATTTATAATGATCTGCTCCATAATAAGGTGAACTAAACCTTGATAGAATTTAAATATTGCTGCTGAAATTAATTTTCATTCGTTCTTTTCATTTAAACTCATTGGTTCTTGGTTGGTTCAAACACAGTCCTTTTAATTCTATTAATTAATAACCAATTTACTTTATTAGATAAACACTTAGGCAGTGAATTTACTGCGCCCTCATAAACAATTTGAACTATCAAAAACATTTTACTTCCCGACTGAACTATCAAAACATGATAGGATCTAGTCCGTGTAAACTCGCCACCCGTTTTCACACAGGGAATAGGTGATGTGAGTCAACAGCTGCCGGCTATCGGTACCTATTCATTTACCAAGGGTTAGGTTTCCATAAAAGATATCGCTGTTTTAACGTCGGGAAATTGCGCATACCCCCACTGGTCGATGGAGACTGCTAGTGGGTTATGAGGGACAAATACCACCATTACCCATGCGCCATGGTTCTTTCTGCCTCACGGCGCGGCGCGGCGTGCGAACCCAATCTCGGGAGAGCGCGCGAGTCCTACTTCCTCTGGGCTCCTTTTCCCGGGCGGTTTGCTTGACTCCCTACAAATTTATATGTTCCTTATCTCTTCTCATTGTCAATTCTCAGGGTTATGTGGGACAGTGGGACTCTCCTCCCCGCCTCCTCACTAAAGGCATATGCCGCTTTTACACTGCGCGGAAATTAGCCAAGTCAAGTAAAAACCAGTAGTAAGCTAATTTCCGCGTAGTGTAAATCCGCCAATAGAATAGTTTGTAAGTATTTACTCTGCTAAAGGCGGGGCCTACCCACTAAAACCCGACGGTGTCCACCGGAGCCCAAAGAAACGGAGCCGCGAGTTATTGTGAGCCGGCTACGAAGGAACCCCCAATCCCCTCCTCCAGTTGTTTTTATAGAGGTTTTTCCCTCGTGGCCCTTGAATTTTATTAACTGCAACATCAAAATACTTCGCTACAGTGAAAGATCTCTTTAAATTCAAAGATAAACAACGCGGTCTGGAAGGAACTGCCGTTTAAATATTTAGATAGTGCTTTGCTTTGACTGACGTTCTTTATACGAAGATCCATTGCAGTTAAATTCGTACAAATTCAGTGGTAGAATAACTACTCTTAGTTTGTGTAATATTTTTTGATTGCTTAAAATACTGGAGTTAAGTATATCAACGTTTAAGAAGTTTTCAGTTTGGTGCTCAATTTTCAATTTCATGGGTTTTTCTAATGAGATAGATGCTGTAAGTAATCGATCCGAATGAAGCTGCCGTTGAGAAAGTAGAATAGGTAGATCTGTGTTCATCATCATCATCATTATTATTTCAGCCACAGGACGTCCTCTGCTGAATATAGCCTCATCCAGTACAGTAGCGGCCTGCATCCAGCGCCTTCCTGCTACGTTTACGAGGTCGTCTACCTTGTGAGACGTCGCTTGTGTTCTAGCACATGGGTTAAAAACCATGTGGTTATAGATTCTAGTAGCAAATAAAGTAGGTAGGTAGTTGGGTATGGGTACCCATTGAAGTATCTACTTACTTCAATGGTGTCTGATATTGTCCATTGTCCATGAATGGACTTATTGTTGAAATGATTCCATGCATTCAAATCAAGGCCGGTTTAGCACCATGTCAAGTCATACAATGGCTCTTTAAATAATAAATTTATTCAATTCGATTTATAAAAGTACTTTATTTATACGATTTTATGTGTTTATCAACATATGTTACAATAAAATCAGGCTCATTGACGAATATTGTTATTTCAAAGCAGATTTTTTAAGATCATTAGTTTTTAGAATACCTACTAAGGTATGAATGAGTGATACATAATATGACTACCTACCTAATTTTTTCTTAGATAAGTAGGTAGGTAGATTTAATTATTTCAGAGGTTCCTTATGATTTGTATGACTCTCATCTAATGGTAAGTTCGTACACAATACTTGAGGAACCTTTGAGGAGCTCATTACAGAAAATATCTTTTTAAAATAAAGTTTTTTTTACTAACCTGACAACTGGTTCTGGAGGTCCATGCCCTCTCTCGATGACCTCTGTGTAGTTGGCCTTCTTCAAATAGTCGGCTGGCTTGATAGGGATGTTGTCAGCCACGTGGTGAATCTTCTCTGATAGCCCCAACACGTTGGTGAACCATTCCGGTTTGGTGGCGGCACCTTGGAACAAACCATTAATTTTATAAGGTTGAGGTTTTTTCACCTCTTTCCCACGATTGCTGCAACTCCATGATGATAAGCTGGTGAATCTCCATGGGATTCAGTGGAATTCTTTTGACAACTAGGTCTTGGGTTTTATTGGTTTTATTCCAAAGTACCTCTTGGGACAAAATAAATGACAAATGATTATGTGCTTTGTGAGATCCATTATACTATCAGATGAGTATAACCGTTAAAGAACCTATGGCAAGTAGGTATCGATGAATAGTCTCGCTAATGGTTTAACGGTAGTATTTGTGCAGCCTTTCAGTGCACAAGTAAAGTAGAAAATGATTTCTGAAAAATATTAATAGCCTAGGTATTCAGATCTTTAAAAATCTATAACTAATGAGGGTTTTCGCGAATGAAAAATCCGCCAGATGGCAATACTTAGACGCGAGGTCCAAATGCTGCATGATTGGTTATTTTTGACATGACATTGACTGATATGTCAAAATCCACCAATCACGCAGCATTTGGACCTCGCGTCTACGTATTGCAATCTGGCGGATTTTTCAATCGCGAAAACCCTCATTTTGAAAATCCTGGGAACGATACAGGATTAATGTAAGGCAGCTCTCTCGGCACTAATTAACTCATCAAATTAGAAAACCTGATGTCACCTCCAGACATCAAGTTAATGAGCTGTTTTTGCTTAGTTTCAGGATTTTCTGATTAAAGCAATTTACTTCGAAGGGTCGCAATCTTTGCCGTGGGCTAAACTAAACGTTCCGAGAAAATTAGATATTTAAATTGGCACCTTTTCAACTACACTGTCGAAGTCCAAGTTATTGGATTAATTAAAACAGGCGTCAGGGGCTGTGCTCGATGGAATTAATTATCGTTAGAGGAATTTCATGCCCGAACCTTATTTTTTCGTGAGTGGCTCATCGTTAAAGATTTACGTCTAATTATTAATGCACGGGCTGTGCGTGTAAGTTCGTAAATACTACGTCCCTACACGTGGATATTATTTTCCAGTCTTTATAGATATCCATTTTCCAGTCATTGAAGATCACCTTTTATTTAAACGGGACCTCGTCCTTTTTACGTAGGTAGGTACCTACCTACCGAAGCTTTTTGAATGAATGAGAAAATCAAATTCATACAATAGTAGAGACTAAAATAAACAATAATAATTATTTTATTTTATCTCTTAGGTATCTACCTACTTTATTGCTTAACTTAATGATAAATAGAGTCGATAGCTTTTTCGTATAACTTTATTAATCTCAAAAGTGTATAATCGTTCAAATAACATGAACACTTCGATATTTTTGAAACCTTTTACATTGAATCCCAAAGTCCAATTTAAACTACAAAATAGAGCGTATCCATTTAGTAATCCTGTCGGGCCAATATTGGCAGCTATTAAATATTCATTGGCTGAGCCGACTCTAAATATTTTACCAGCCGGCCTATGTTTGGTCTCCAAATATTTGCAAAGGGCACTTCACAAAAGCGTTAGCTCAGAATTTTTGAACGCTATCGCAGATGGCCAATTGAGTGTTTGTTTCAGAGTTGGACAAACATAGAGAATATTTCAATGACATGAGCTTTACTGATACTTATGCTGATTTATACATTTTAAAAGCGAACAGTTATTCAAGCGTTGCTGCTAGCGGGAGCTGTATCTTTGAATGTTGTGTGAAAAGTGACATGTATTTCAAACATCTCCGAGTACCTAAGTAGGTACCTACTCGTATACAATCGTAGCATCGGCATCAGTAAACTGTCTTATTCTTTCGGTGTATTTAATTTGAGTCTGTCACAGAAAGTCTATCTCACGCACAAGTCTTTCCAAAAACCAAGTTAAAACTATCCTATGACCCTGGGTCTTAAACTAACTAACTTATAATATGTAAATCGGTTCAGTGGTTGCGTGGAAAGATAACAAGATACTTACCTAAGTAGATAAAGTATTTTCGGATTTATAATATTAAAGTAAGGTATGGCTTCCGAATAAATCAAGCCATTGGGAAATTGAAATCCTGAAAACACTGGTATTGGGAACTTCAGGTTCTACTCAGGTCGAATCAGCCAGCTGCTTTATCTTCTGCCTAAGTGGGGACAGCTTGACCAGCATATCGTTGTGGCCAAGTAGCCCCTGCCAAGGCCGGGTTATTTAGGAACATGCCTTGAGCACTTGTGACGAAACTTCAAGTGCTACTCACCAGAATCAGCCAGCTGCTTTATCTTCTCCCTAAGTGGGGACAGCTTGGCCAACACATCGTTGTGGCCAAGCAGCCCCTGCCAAGGCCGGGCCGCCCAGGAACACGCCTTGTTCCTGACCGGGACTTTGGATCCATCCGCGCAGAGGTACGCGAATTCGTCGGGGTTCTCCGATGAGGTGTTTGCTGGGATTGTGCCTACTGGCAACTGGGTAAAAGGGTAAATAATATTAGTATTTTTATACTAATAATACAAATTAAGTCAATTAGTCCCGTTAACCCCACGTAAGCACTAAGTACTAGTACGTTTGTATTACTAGAGGGGTCCATCGGCGGCGGGGATCGAACCAGCCTCCTCCTCTTGGATCTCGCTCGAGTCGTTAAGTTTGCAGAATCTAGGTCTGCATTTCGATTTTGCGTAAACGATTTAAGTAATGTTGTATCTAATATACCTACGTAACTGTATGGAATGTGTGGTAGAAGCTTTGCTTGGTTTGGGTTGGGACTAGATGACAAAGAGTAAAATGTCCAGATCATCGGCACATTTAGAGGTATATTAATAATGAGGTCTACTCAAAACAAAAGTACTCGTAACTTACCCCAAAGAACTTCCTGACATAGATGACCTTGGTGAAGGCGACCTGTCCTCCATTGTGGGCCAGGCACCTCAAGGCGCCTTCGTATCCACTGAAGTTGTCAGGGTAGTCGCAAGCATCTGGTCGCTCGCAGAGGGCACATAGGTTGCTGTATTGGGATTCTGTTCAAACAAGCATTTAACGTCAGCTATCATCAGATGTTAGATCATTTTAGGAGTGAGTGTTTTTAGAAGTGCAAAATGTATCCATTTTTACACAAGGTCCTTTTCTTAACATGTATGTAATGTTTTCAAACTCATTTTGTGAAGCGTTTTAGACAATCAATGTCGTTGAATATTGAGTGATTGCTGATACACCTATGTTACTCAGGGGTTGCTGGCGTTACTGCATATACATAGATATACCATCGAAAGCCAAATTATTATTTATTCAAAATCCAATTTCGCCCAAATTAGAAAGCGTAAAAGTCAAGTGTCAGCAGAGGTCATGGATAAGGAGAGTCTAAGGAAAAATATGATTTGTTTCAAAATGTGGAAAATTAAAAGATACTCACTCCAAGTCCTCATGGTCTTGACGTCAGGAGACCATTTGCCAACGATGCAGGATTGGGAGAAGAAGGTGGAGAATGCTTTCAGTTCGTTCTCCTTCGGCGATATGGTTCGGTCGTTCATTTTAGGAAAGACGGAGCGCTTCATCAGCATTGTCAGAGGAATCTGAAATTAATATTCTTAATAAAAAAACTGCATTATCGCAAAATGTCGCTAAGTAGACCTATACAGGCGGCAGCATAGTTATATTGTGAGACTATGCAGTTGAAAACATAAGAGATTACATGTGATAACAAGATGGTATAATATTTTGAAGCGTTTAAAGCATTTTCATCGGTACCTACACTGTATGAAAAGAAAACTGAAATTGCAATTCAGGGAACCAAATTGCTGTTCATCATGGTGTTTGATAAAACCTCCCCAAGAGGCAGTATTTTTACATAAAAAACATATTGAAAAAGGGTAACGTGTATTAATTCATCGGCTATTTTCTGGAAAGGATTAAAGTGGGTCGGTTCAGTGAAAGGTTAATGGGGTTCTCAAAAACACATTCAGGAAAAAACTCATTCATCCGACTTGGTGTCGATGCTTTGATGCTTTTTGAGAAGGGTCACTCATCTCTCGGATCAGCCTAGCCAAATGAGAGCATGATAAAAACAACAATAAATAGGTACTAATAGGTAGATCCAGGTAGATACAGTCAGCCTCCAATAGTTCGTGACGCCCAAAGTAGCCAAAAAGTTCGCAACACGTTCTTTGTTACAATTTTAAAGGTTGTATTGTCAACTTTTTGGCTACTTTGGGTGTCACGAACGATTGACGCTAACTGTAGGTAACATGTTTAGTTTAAAATAAGTATTTCAAAGAGCTACAAATGGACTTATGATTTCTTTACTTCTAGCAAAGAGATAATAATTTTATTCCGTCTAACATACAACGCTCGTATTCGTCTTGGATGGTTTATTCAGACTACATAAGTACACAGACCAGAGTACCTAGAATTCTAGAGCTTTCACGAATGAATATTAAAATTTTAGAGATTTTATTGTATGAAAGTTTGCATGAGTTTTAATGAATTTACCTACTTTGCGATTCAATGTTAGGTCTTTCTTTTATTTGGTAGGTAAGTCGTAACTGGAAATAACATTGCTATGTTAACTTCGAGTGGATAATTTAAGTAAGAAGGTAAGTAGTCTGGGGGTAGATACCTAATTAAATTATCCATTTTGCCGGTCTAGGGATAAACAAAATTTAAAACATTTAAGTACTTGAAAATGCTTCTTCATTGTTATATTATGTAGGAGTTAGATTCTTGTAAGTGTCCTGATTCCTTACCTTATTTAGAAGTAATTCTACTACAATCTATTGGAATGGAATTTCTACTTAGTAACATATTCAACAAGCTCTTATATTTAATACCTATCGAGGTATATACCGCTACTTCATGTACAATTGTACATTTACAGAATTTATTGTTTTAACATCTGAAAATATAAATAAATTGCAATAAAACATTATTTTTGCTGTACCTACCTACATGCCCAGAAGTTTTAAGGTATCCTACCTTAAGATGCAAGCTCGGTCTTGCATAGCGATTACTTAACTGCATTGACACTTGACTGGAACTGGTTAACTCCGAGTCAGTTTCGGCAAGTTGTCCGACTTGTTCTGAGCATCTATACTGTACACAGCGAACAGCTATAGCAGTCCTGTTTGGCTACAAGCAGTTGAATTTCTGGTACTGTTTACTTGTAGTTTGAAGGCGAATTTGAACTACTTGTGTTTGGTAGACCAAGACCACGGTATTGTGTCAAGACTGAGCACCAAACTGTAGGATGAAGTTAGAGCCCAAATTTAGACTACAACACCAAAATATATCCAGCTGTCGAGTTAAGTTTATCCGCCATTCATCTTATATGGCGAAGTATTTGCATCTTTGTTTAAAAGACGTTGTTATGCAAATTGTTATTATAAGTAAGTATACACAAAAATATAAGAACTGTATTGTCTTGCAGACAGACATGAGGAAAACTTAACCGAAAACATTTAGAATAAGTAGGTTTTTATGATTTAGCCAGGTTTAGGCTAGCATTAAGAAACCAACCTCTCAATTTATCGCCTACATTCAAGAATTTACCTATAGGTACTTGGACCGTAGAATATTTAGAACTTATAGGTCGTAACAATTTAAGTAAGCTGCCTTCACCCTGGTTACGTAAATGTAAGAAAGGTCAAGTTTCACGTTGGATTAATATACCTGGCCATTAATCTAAACTTCCATAAACACCCCGAACTTAGTTCCATCAATCATCGTTAGCGTTACCTATAAATATTACCTACCTCCCAAATTCGGTGTAAAAACTGTAACTCGCATAACAACATAACCGGTACACATGTGGAGAATTAATCATTCCACGCTGTTTGATGTGTTAAATAGAACATGTTCTCAAAGTTTTGGGGTTGTTGGTTTTCTTTTCCTATTGGAAATCAGCAAATATTGTTCCTGAATCGATGAAACTCGATTCAAACTCAAGTTCAGATTAAAGTCTGTGATAGGGTAAACTTCCATACTTTTAGAGCAACCATGCATGGCTTGGATCGTCTTGAGTATAGATTCATATTTTGAGTGTTATTTCTTAATACGGGCCTTAGCTTAAAGAAAGTCTTATGAAGGATGTTTTTAAAAACCTAATTGAATATTGATAAGCATGGCCGACTTGCCGAGTTGTTTAGATTTGACTGCGGAATTGCAAAATATGTATTTAATCAAATTCTCCAGCCAAATTTTGCGTCGTTACTCACATTTACGTAACATTTTCTAAGATAGGCGCCACAGATTAAGTTGTACCATCAAATTGAGTCCATTAATATATTGTTGAACCACTTTGGAAAATTGCTATGAATTAGTGGCGAACCGAAGTGTCACTTAACTTGATAGGATCGTTCATTAATCTTAATCTAATCGTTGTCATTACGCCCAAACTGTCTTATAGCGTCAATGAGGAGGTCCCTTGGGAAGGCAAACTTGGAAACCACTGACTTTGATAGTGTAATATCTACATCAATTCGGGAAACAAGCAAAATACGAAATTTCATATCTCGTAGCTCCTAATTTGTTTTTACATTACACTCATGTCGGGGGTAATACATCAATGTCACCCCCATATTTCTGTAATGTATGTTTGTTTCTTTCTTCGGTGTCACGTGGATTATCTCATATTTTATTAACGTGTTTCGTGGAAATTAATTCGTGAAGTAACAGGCACGTGTTACGTTTATTGGAATTCCTGAACTAGGTTTGAGAATTAAATTCGTCTTTAAAGGCACACTTTGAAACATGAGAAGAACGCTGAAAAATGTGTCGAAAAAAGAAAATACTTACTTATTACGACTTCACGAGCAATTTCAAGAGACCGAATGGCAACAGTTCCGGCTTTTCATTGTATGAAGAATTCCAGCTTAAAATTTCCCTCGCGAATTTCTTCGCAGGCTAAATATTGTTTCAAACATTTCCTGTTCTATTTGCCTTCTCAGATTTACGAACGAAGTCCCAAGTGCCGTTCTGTCCAACGCTCCCCTTTAACTACTTTTATAGATGCGAAATTGCAAAGAAATGGGGTCCCTGAAGTGCGCTCGCTTTTAAAGGCTCCGAAAATAGGGTAAGTGCGCTAGTTCTCGTCCAATTATCGGAGTTGCCAACTTTGTGATGCGAAATGAATATCTTAAAATACCCTTACTCATATGCATCATATGTCATTTTAGTCCTTATATAGTCTACTTTACGTTAATATTATATGACAATAAGTAAATACCACGGGTTTCTTTATAAAAAATATTTTATGCAAAAGAGGCGATTTCACTAGTTTTCGTCCAAAAAAATCAGTTTTCGTCCTAGTGTACGCTAGTTTTCGACCACTGTGTAGAAAAAAGGGAGCAGTTGAATTATTAACTTAAAACCAATTCTACAATACAGTTACTATGGATTGTGGTATATCATTTGAAAGGTAATTTTGTTAGCTTTCAAATGATATCAAAAATATTTAAATAAGTTTCTTATCTAAATTTAGGAAAATATTGCATTAAATCGAAGGACAAATGGACGAAAACTAATCTACAGGAATAGCTAATTTTGGTTTTCGTCCACCCCAGTGCTTGCTCATGACGTCATGGACGAAAACACAACAACGTTTAAAGCTGTTTTTTGTTTTCGTCCACATCTTTTTAACGGTTTTTATGGGTTTATCACTGTTAAAAAGTGGACGCAAACTAAAATGTTTAATGTAATGGCAATAAAGATCATATTGGAAGAAAAAACATTGTATTTTGTAGGTCCATTGAAGTAAAATGATTATTAAAAATATTAACTAGGTGTCAGGGTTTCCGTCCACGTGGACGAAAACCAAAAGCTTGCAAAATTGTTATGCTAGTATTAGTACACTTAATTATCTAAGATTTCCATACAAAAACATTAATAAACCCTTAAAATAGTGTTTATTATGCTAATAATTAGTCATACGTGCCAAAAACATTACGTAAAGTAGCTAAAACAGTAATTAAACATACCATGAAAGTTCCCTACCGGCACGTTTTTTTTCTAACTTGACGACGTTTTCCATTCACCTGTGTGCAGCAGCAACTTCCGTAGATTTTTTTGGAGTTATTACTTGTCAAATTACATTTTCATGCAGGCAGAACTGTTACTTAGATATTATAGATTGTAACAAGTCCAAACTTGCACGGAAAGTTAGGTTTGTATTCTAATTTTCCGTATTTGTTTGTGGCAAGTCGGTCAAATGGACGAAAACAGGAGCTGGACGGAAAACCGGCGCAATTACCCTACCTTTTGCTTAAAACCTTCAAACTCTCTAAGATGTAAATCTATTTGAATTACGTACAATTTCTTTATTTTGAAGTGACTAAAGTATTTGGCGTTTTCTAACGCTTCTTTCAGGACCTTTATACTGTTTCTTGTACAAATAAGAAAGGTCCTCTTTTTACAATATTGTACTTCTATTAATATTGTCTAATAAAAAATAGTTGCCAAGTCAACGCAATAGGCCACGTCATCGGCTTCAATATACGAATGTAAGTGTTATTATTGCTGGAACCGTCCCTATTCGCTGTAAAGGTGAGTATAGACTAGACTATTTCTGTGTAATGTAACGTTCTTGCGACTGGTACATTACAGGTAAAATGTATGACGTTTGGTTCGTGACAGGGTGTGGTGACACTAGATATTTCATAGAGCGGCTCGTTGTTTTGTTACAAGTAAATGCTCTAGCTAGTCTATACTCACCTTAAGTGTAACATCTGGCGCGACACGACCGAGTTCCAAAATCACAACGAAATCATTTGATTGCTGTTACCACGTTGCGTCTTTCCATTCTATACATAGCCAGAACGCAAGGGTGTGAAACTAATCGAGTATAGTTTGGATATGACTTTTTTTACTAAGCTCCTCCAAACTATACACGACCAGTACGCATACGCTGCGTACTGCTCGCGTATACTTTGTAGTGACTTAGGTCAATTATCTTCCTTCAAAATATACATCGCCAGTACGCATACGGACTAATCATGTATGTATTGTAATAAGTGCGTGATTACAATTTATACGCGAGTAGTTGCATGCTAGTCATTTTGACTTATTGACCTCTCTTTCTATTACATACTAACCACTACACCAAACGGCCGACAATACAAACCTAGCATTTAAAGTCTCGCATAATATTGTATTTAATGCGCGTTGAACTTTCTTCTCTCACTCTCTCTCATATTAATTAAATTGTTATTTAATTTGAAATCTACCTAATCAATTTAATTTCAAAAACCACTTACAATAGTTTTAAAAATCTAGATTTATTATAGATTCAGTAAAATAATAATATTTTATGTAATAATATCAAATAAATGTAATTTTAAATATAGTTCCATATTTTACTGAATTTTACTAAATCAATATCAACTAAACACACTCTAGTCAAGTGTAAGTGGTGTAGTAGAAACTAATCGAGTATAGTTTGGAGATGACTTTTTTTACTAAGCTCCTCCAAACTATACACGATCAGTACGCAAAATTCGTGTATAGTTTGGAGTCACAGATTTACAAACAGGCACTCCGAAATATACACGAGCAGTTTCCTATGGGTGCGTTCTGGCCATGTATAGAACGGAAAGACGCTACCACGTTACATAGGAACGGATATGCGGGTTGTTACATTGTAACTGATTGGCAGTAATGTGCTCGTTGAATAGATCAAAGTCTTGGACAAAGTAACATTCGCTAGCAATCGAAATTGATTCACGGAGCGATATAAATCCTTCATAGTCATGAAAGAATGGGAGCTTTATAAGTAGTTTCGCCTTTTAAAATGAAGAATCTGACAGAATCACTCTGTGGTTCATTTGATGGTTGACTACCTATTATGATCTGCTCTGGTCTACTTCTTTATCTGATCTGATCTATTTTTGTATTATTTAAACTTAAACCAATCTTAAATTATAAATACATGTAATTAGGTCTCTGACTCTACCTCTATTGGTTTTTGAGGAAAGAAAAAGTTGCTTGAGGGTACAACCACAGAATAATAATAAGTAGTACAACTGAATAGGCATCTTTACTGAGGTTGTCGTGTTGCTCTTTAAACGAAACTGCACCCTTTTTGACTTCGCATTAGATTGGAATTTGAATAAAAACTTTATTTGAATAGCTGACATAAATTCTGTTTTCAATATTATCACAATACGAATTTAACAGCTCAGTTACACTAAGCGGAAAATTTACCGAGACAAAGCACGAGCACGTACACCGAAGTGTGGACCACGCACGGCGAAACTGACTGAAGAGCGTGTTTACTTTAAATGTCTAGATCAATTTCCCGCATAGTGTAACTGCGCCGTTATTCGATGTTTTTGCTAAGATTGTCTCCTTATTACCCTCTGTCTGCCTGTGTGACATCTGGCGGGACAAGACCGAGCTCTGAATATGAGACGAGTATGCTTTGTTACATTGGAATATGAAATCAAAGGCACTCAAAGGGTTGTAAGCTGTTACGAGTACATTGCAGATGATTATTCCTTTGCTAAATCTTCAGCTTAGGTATATCGTAACTTGTGGGTTGAGTCAATACTAACTGCTCTGGTATTATAATGTTTAGGTCTAGTGGATCCAGTCAGTGCCTGAGGTATGGAAGCGGCATGGAAGGGTGTTTTTTGTTACGTCGAATGTCAGCGAGACTTCAGATTTGTGTGCTCTGTCACGTCATAATATGTCAAAATCACCCCTCCTGTGAGGCTCCCATGACCCATACATCAGACGCTGATTGAGTTAAGCGCTAGGCTTATAAATGGCTACAGGCTAGCAAGTAGCAACCGACTTAATGTATCCTCGAGCACTTTATCATCTATCTTCGTCTTCAACCTAACCTGACAACGGTCTCCCCCAAGGATTTCCACAATGTCGCGGTCCTGCGCTGCCCGCATCCAGGCGCTTTCCGTAACATTTCTTATTATATTATGTAGGTACTTCATCATTTCAGCCATTAGTCGTCCATTGTTGACTCCCCCAATGATTTTCATAATAATGACCGCTTGGTAGCGGCCGGCATCCAGCGCCTTCCTGCTACCTTTATGAGGTCGTCGGTCAGCGTTGCCAGTTTTTTTTTTCGCCAAGTCGGGACTTTGGTACTTTTTGAGTGAAAATAGCGGGACTCTTCCGTCAGAAGCGGGACATAGTAAAAAAACGTATATAATCAAAGGTTTTCAAATATTTATCTTTTTATTTGACTTAAAATTACGTTTACTTGACATATATAGCAAAAGTAGCCATAGAAAATGTATTTTAACAAAAAAAAATATTTTAAATCAGATTTACTCTATCGTTAAATTCGTCTTTAGAATAAAAAAAGAATAAAATTAAAAATGTTTTATTCTTTAGAATAATATGGCGTTTCAAACAAAAGTTTGGTGAAGTAAGTGTCTCTCTCCGAAAAGCGGGACCGAGCCTGTCCCGCGCGGGACATTTAAATTTGATTTAAAAATCGGGACGTCCCGCCAAAATCGGGACGTCTGGCAACGCTGTCGTCGGTCCACCTTGTGGGTGGATGCCCTACTCTGCGCTTTCCGGTACGTGGCATCCACTCCAGAACCTTATTGCCCCATTGGCCGTCAGTTCTGCGTACTATGTGCCCTGCCTACTACCACTTCAGCTTCCTAATCCGTCGGGCTATGTCAGCAGCTTTTGTTCGTTTACGGATCTAGTCATTTTTGATTCGATCTCGTACATAATATACTTAGTAGATACATTTTACATTACCGCAGGAGAACCAAAGTGACCGACATAGCTCGCAGAATTGCTAAAACCAAGTGGCAGTGGGCGGGGCACATAGCTCGTAGAGACGATGACCGTTGGGGCAGAAAAGTTCTCGAGTGGCGACCACGGGCTGGAAGACGTAGCGTGGGCAGGCCTCCTACTAGGTGGAGAGACGATCTCGTAAAGGTCGCGGGAAGAGCCTGGATGCGGGCAGCGCAGGACCGTGCATTGTGGAAAGCCTTGGAGGAGGCCTTTGTCCAGCAGTGGACGTCATTTGGCTGAAACGAACGAAAATTTTACATTATGTAAGTTACCTTATATCCAACGTTCCTGTTGACTCCAGTATGGCACGACTTGAGCCCTTTCAGTTGGTCCAAGTTGTTGACGGGAAGATCCTTGTGGACCACTATCACAGCTTCGTAACGGAACTCCGCTAAAAAGAAAAAAAAACATTAATTTATTAATCAATTAGATACTTCAATATCTATTGCAATATGAGCTAAAATAATATGGTCGGGCTCCATTGTGTGTTGCCCTTTTAAGGGAAATAGCAAGGAGTTTTGTATGGAGCTTATTGGCTCAAAAGCTAGTGCGCAATATTTGAAATTTCATACATGAACAGATCAGGAAAAAATCTGCAATGAAAGTAGGTAACACTGTCTTTTTAGGAAAAATCTTATAAACAGAGTGTGGACTGTGGTTACATATCAGATTTTATTTCTCCCTGTAAAAATTAACTAGAGTAGTACTTAATCAGAACCAAATCCCGATAAGTCCTACATAGTTCTTTCACACATAAACTACGATAAATTCTAGGCTAAGACTTCCAGACTTGCTGAAACATGTCTCGCGGAGCCTATCCTTTAGGATTGTGGGAATGCTGCGGACCTAACGATGAATAGCGACCCATTCTGACTTGAATAGAAGTCATTACGACGAGATACGAGGACATATTTCGGCGAGCTTCACATAAAAAGTTGATAATGTATCATATAGAAAAAATGGACCTTTACTTATGGAGATTCTGAAAATATTTTTTACATTTACGAGCCCTCACAGATCTCGCAGACTTTTTGTCAGACCGTAGTTTAGTCAGGCAGTTAATTAAGAAGGATTGGCCACACTGGATGCGGTCTGCGGTCTGGTCAAAGTAAAAAAGCCCGCTTCTTGTATAATTAGGTACTTGGACCTGACCGCAGCAGGTCGCATCCAGTGTGACATGTCCTTGGAAGAGCGCACATTACACCGTTTTGGTATCGGCCGATTCCTAATACTGATTAGCAGCCGACCAAACTATATAAAGAAGTTCGTGTCTGTGGAGAGTCGTGTGTGTATGTAACACAAGAATGGTTAACAAGAAACGTATGCAGCTCAAGATTAATATTCCTTTGTTCAGTGACAGACGATTCTTCGAAGCGACAAAAAGAAACCATGCACATAGCAAGTCGTCTGCTTGATATTGAAAATACCTTATTTTTTAAGATTTTGATGTCACTTAACACATGTGAATTCCTCGACTCTTTCTATAAAGTAACATCCAATATCGACACATAAACATCTTGAAACTGCAGATAAACAAAATTACTTATACAATTCGCCTCGTATGCATCCAAAGCTCTAATATGATTGGATTTTATTAAACTTTCTCTCATTTGAATATTATGCAATGCAAGCGTTCGGAAGTGTTGTTTGTTGGCTTTGGTCTATTGTGTTCATTCAATATTAAAGTGGTTTCGTAATGTAGATGTTAGAATAGAATACTAGTATTGGTTATGGCTTTTTCTGTTCATCATTTATAACGTAAATATTTCCAAGTACCTACACATTCATATTGAATTCATGGTTTCTTTAACACGTTTGACGTCCGTATTCACAAACATTAGTATGAGGTCTCACAGTGCGCGTGGACGCACAGGGTGACACACGAATCAATCACTGAGCTCTATTCAACGCTGTGCGTTACATTTGCTGCTTCACTTAAGCAAGTATCGTTTGTGAATACGGGCTGAAATTAGACTCTTTCATAGGTTAGTTCCCTTAGGCTGAGTTGCACCACCTAACTTTGACCGTAACTATAACGATAACCGGTGTTTTTTGTATGGAGTTTGACAGATTTTTGACGTTTGTCAAAGTTAAAGTAAGATGGTGCAACCCAGCCTTAGTTTACCATAGTAGAATCAATACTACTGGTTTAGCCGACATACTCTACTCACACTATGGTCATCTTATATCTTTACTGGGAGGCAGGAGGAGACCATTTTCTTACGATATTTTTGGTTTTCTAAGTCTAGCACCAGAAACGTTTTTTTTTCAATCCTATTTTTTTCTACGCTTCTTACATAGCTTCTATGTAGAAGTTCCTCTTTAGTTAGATAGGTACAATTAATATTGCTGCACACCACAACAATACTGACAAGTAAGAGAATTTAAAGAGTTGAATAGAGCCGAGAAATCAAATCAAGAAAATTAAATACATACCATCTGGCTCATCATCCGTCCTGTACTCTTGGAAGACCACGAAGTCCTGGTTGGGGATCTTGGAGGCCACGTACATGTCCTCAGGGTCCACGGGCACGAAGTCCGCCTGCCTTTGCTGCACGTAGCTTAGACATTCCATCCTGAAAAGTAAATTTTATTTAGTTTGCATGGTGAGACCCCTACAAAATAAGTTTACTCGAGAATTTGTATACCCTATAGAATGCCTAGGTACGGAGGTAATTGAATTTGAATACGGGACTATTCCCACCTCTCTTTCCCACCACTGCAACTCCTGTATAGCCAGGATCTACAGCTTGACCGCCAATAAAAACCCAACCAGTGAAGGTCAAGTTTCCCGGGGGAAAGTTAAACTGTCATTTGACCCGCAACGAAATTAATCAGAAGAACAGGAGGAGTTCGAAGTTTTGAATATGAATGTAGTTTGAGGTTAATCTTTGGAAGTAAGGATGGTATAAGTTTATTATTAANTTATTAAGTTAAAATTCACGAGATGTTGAAAAGTTGTCTATAAGATCTACTAAATAGTGCTAAAATAGAAATACGAGAATTAGATTAGAAGTGCTTGTACTCAATTCAGATTCTTAGATTCCATTACATGTTAGTTACATACAGCAGGACGAATAAAAACGTGTTAAAATAATAAAAACAGTTTCTGATACAAATTGTAGGTATGTAACGGAACGGCTGATCGATCTGAAGCATCAGAATCACTCCCTCGGGATGGAGAAGGTTTTCTTTCATCTTTTTGTATCCGAACGAAACATTTTTGAAATGAAAAATAACGATTGTTGCACGTCTATATTGACTCTATTGATATCTTTATAACTTACTCATTGGACTTGTTTTTAAATAATAATTTAAAGATAATTTATGAGACTTCCAAGGTTATCAGAGGTGGAATTGTGTAAAGCAATCGTTATCTTTTGACAGTTCATAACGTACGATTATTCTGTCAAACGCTTTGTTTAACTGACTTTATCCTACGTTATGAACTGTCAAATCATTACGATTGATTTACACAATTCCACCTCAGGTCAATAACCATATTAGTGGACAGGAAATTAATAGAAAATGGTGCACATTAAACTTAATAAATAAATAACATAAACTGGTTGTTGCTCATTAGCATTTTGCTTTACTTATAAATTGTCCGCGACTAAACAATTTAATGAAATATTACAGATCCTAGAAAAATATGTTCTGTTTTATAGACGTAACGTACTTACCTGCTCATGAATAGAAAAAGCCTTTAAAAGCTCAAGTAATATTTTAGAAACACGAGATCATTATTTTATTCTAATTTAAGCAAAAAGGCAGTTATGCTAGGTACAATTTGTATTTTTTATCCTCTAAGATTTAGGTATATTTTGGCATCATTAAGGAAAATATTTTTAAAACGAAAAAAAAAGGCTGATGTAAAAACAATCACCATTTTAGCGAGTTACCTAGAGAGAACATCTAGGCGCTAAGCACGTAGAGACGCGCGACATGAATACAAACACTGGCCATTATCATACTGGGAGATGACATTTTTGTTTTTTCTTTTCACGTTCGAAATTCGAATCTGTTTTGTTTTGCGCTCGTTCCAGCGTGTCAGTAAACCCAGAATCATTGACAAAAGACAATCACAGAATTAATATTTCAAATTCAAACTTGGAAGCTGGCTCGTTCATTTTCCCGAAGACAATTTCGTATGACGTAGCCTGTATAATTAAAGTCGACTGTCGTTTGTTCAATTTGGAGTCTAACCAGAATTTAATAATGTCTAACTAATTATTCGCGACTCTTTTGCCAAGAGACATTTTCTGGCTTAATTAATTCGATGCTTAGTTTACTGACTAGAGTCTGCTTAATTAATACTTATTAAATAATTGTACTTGTAGTAAGTAGAAATTTGTACCTGTTTGAGTCCTTATTAAGTGAGAAAGTCTAGGTAAATATTTTTCGTAATTTATAAAATCGGGATGTTTCCATTTAATTTTCCTAGTAACGTGTGTCATGAAAAGTTCGTCCTATAATAGATTATTAAAACAATGAAATTAAAATCAAGCTCTCCAATTTACGACTCACTAATTTGTATCAATAAGCTTCTTTCGTCGTAATAAAAAAAGGAAAACGAAGGACATGGAACCATTTCTACTCGTACTTGACTCGTCTTAAAACTTTCATTTCTTTAAAGACAAAGAAAATAAAATGTGATAAAGGATTCAATTTTTATTAATAAAACTTACCTATCTCTCGCTGGAATACATTTCAGCACTGCTTTGCTCTTGGTCGGCACTTCCAGCATTTCCTCGCATGCTTTCAAATATTGTTCTGCCACGCATATTTTGTCTATAATCCAAATAAATATTGATGTTAATGAATTATTACAAAGATAAAAATTGGCCCGTATTATAAAACGACGTTTGAAATTGAAACTCATCTCAAACTCAAGCATAGATTCATGACTGTATCATACATACTGTACCTACTTATTTGAATGAATTTCGATATTTTAGCTCTTGAGTGTAGTACCTATCAAATATTTTTTAATTGTTTCATAGCAAAACCTAGTCGTAATAAATACTCGCGTAGCGTAATAATAAAATGGTATTGAGAAAATTCATTTGAGAAAATCAACCTGCATTGTATTTAACTAATCACGCATACCAATAAGTATAAACTGAGAAAGTTAGCCACAAATATTTAAGAGGTTAATAAACTTTTATAGCATCTGTAACTAGATTTGTAAAACGTAAAAAGAAACATTAAATTCGCAAGGCTAGACCGGTATTTTGTCCCGCGGCGCGGTGTATGTACGGAATATTTATGTTTTTACCTACCCACTATACATATTAGCCGGGGGCATTGTCTATTTGGATGGCAAAGCATTTTCAAGGACGAAGGATTTAAAAACTGACAAAGTCCAGTCAACATTTATTAAATACTTAGGTACTTACTTTAAATAAAATTTATAAGCCCATTTAGCCCACTGTCATCATATTCATCACAAAAATTAGTAAGGGATGAAAACGGTTATAAATAATTTGAGTTTAAACTTTAAATGTAGGAGCAATTAATCGTGCATTAAGTTAATGGTTAGGATTTAACTATTTACGCTAAATCCCACTTCTTAGGGATTAATCTGACTGTTAAGTAGAACAATAGTAGTAATTATCTTTTCATTTGGTGGCAAATATTAAAAATACAATTTGTTAGGTTAGCATTATGTTTATAATTTAAAATAATGTAAACATTGTCTAATCAAGAATTGTTGTTATTAGTTAAGTCACTTTGATAACAGCTTTCGTTACTCTGATAACCTTACCAAGTCCAAGTTCCCGGCCTTTTGGCTATGATTAAAGTGTAATGAAAAATAAATAAAAAGGCACTTTATTAAAATCATAAACTTAAAACCATCCAAATTCATCCAAGCACTGAACAATAAAAATAAATTATCTTGATTCCATGCACATCTTGTAGAAAAATAAGTAAAACCTACATGCTTGTTTGCAGTTAACACTGGCCACAAATAAAAAAACTAACGCGATATATTTTTTTAATGCCATGGTCACATGTGGCCGCGCGCGCAGCCGATATTGTAACTAGCCAGTATTTGTGAGGCTTGTTCTTTTATATTCATAAATTTATCTTTGAAGCATTCGATGTAAATCGCTGCCGCGCACTGTGTTGCATAGGCCACTTGCTTGTCAAGTACAAGTTATTATGGTTCGTGCACACTGTGTTGAATGTGTCGCTAGCAGGAAAACAGTCGGTGAAGACAGGGTTAAGATAGTTTAGACTAGAACATTGACTAATTAACTCAATGCTAAAAAAACATCTATAGTAAAAAAAGTATGTATTATAATAATTGCATCTACAATTGCAATAAAATATTTTGATTTTGAAAAAAAAAAAGCAACTAAGTGCAAGAAAATTTAATATCACGCGTTAATTGTGGGATTTGTACCTACATGAGAAAGTTTTTTTACAACTTTAGCATTAACTTTTTTTTATCCAAATATTTATTTTAAATATTAATATTATGTATTTCCTCCAATGCAAGTACAAGTATAACTTAAAAGGGAGAGATAAAAGTTATACCTACAAAAGTATTTAAAATGAAAATGCATTTTTTTAAGTCGGTGAAAGCACATCCAAACAGCTTAATTTAGATTAATCACAAAATTATAAACGAAAAAAACGTTGCTAAACAAAAATAATTGCTACTTCTATTTCTTCTTTTTCCTATAGCTGATACGTAGTCCATCCATCCATAGGTGCTCAAGTGTCATCGTTCGCCGGAGCCGAGAGTAAGCTTGATTAAATAATGTATTCACGAAGTCACGCGAGCTGGCTGTGTTCGAGGAAAGCTTGGGAATGGAAATGATTTAATTAAATATAATATAATACGTGTTTGGAATATTCAAGAACTTGAACAAAATTAAGATTATTTAATAAAAATTCTATCAGTAATTATAATTTTATTAAATCGATTACTCTTGCAATGCGATTTCGTGTAATGGAACGTTTTTATGCACAGACTTCTTGGCCAATTTATTTATGAAAAAAAAAATCAGATTGATTGACGCCTTGGCATAAAAAAAAATTGGCGCGTAACCTCAAAAACTTTTGGTAAACAATGTTTGGTATTTGGCGTAATAAATTAAAAGTGCTCAATAAAATATTATAAAAATGGACTGGATACACTGTAATAAGTGTTTCTCACAGCTTGAACCAGGAATCACACTTCATTTAACATCATGCGGACACATGTTTTGCAACAATTGTTTGGACAATGGTTTGTCCTACTAATAATAAAAATCATAGAATTTTATTTTACAACGAAAATGTTGAATTGTATTGTATTTTATTTTAATTTTTATTCTAGGGCCAAAAGAATCAACATGTATTGTATGTCGCCTGCCATGTTCTGTTATGAAACTTGTTCCCGACGTATGTATTGCAAAAGTTTGTTTGTAAATAGATGCAGTTTTGTTGAATGAATAATAAAAGTGGATGGTTTTAGATGAAGCCAGAAATCCAAGATTATTTCACAGACCCGGAGGAAATAATTAAAAAGACTTGCGAAGTTTTGCAGTTTCAAAGACAACATAGACGGAGATTGCTTTCCTACTTACTGCAGTCTGTAAGTATTTATTTTGTGAAATGCATTTTCTTTCATTTGTACGAAATAGTGTAGGTATTCAGTATTTATTTACATGAACGTAATGTTATAAACCGCTACCCAAAATTAGAATATCTATTGTTTAATAGGATGCTGTATTTTAAGGTCAAAAATTATATCAAACTAGCTGACCCGGCGAACTTCGTTCCGCCTTAATGGCAATAAATAAGCAGACTTTTTTTTTTATTTCGAACGGGATAAAAAGACAATTTTCAGCTAAATCGGTTCAGCCGTTCTTGAGTTATAAGTGGTGTAACTAACACGACTTTCTTTTCAATACGAGATTTTGAAGTTTTCTTTTACAATATTGTAATAAGTTATTTTTCTTACGTTATTTGAAGTTATAATGAATCCGTTTCGGAAGTCATACTACTAGGGCCTTTTTACAAAAAGAGTTAAACATACGTTGAAATGACATTTCCATACTAAATTACATTTAAACAAGTGCTCAACGGGCGTTTAAATTGTTGTAATTTAAGCCCTAAGAAAACTAACTGAAAAAAAACCCATTAGGGTTTTTCAGTTAGTTTTTGTTTAAGAATAAATTATGCGATTTTCAGACGAAAAAGTTTCACACAGCCAGGACCGAACTGAAGCGGATGACGGAACTGTGCCAGAAGCAACACAAGCAGCTGAAGGAGTACCAGAAAGTTGTGAAGAACTTGGAGGCCCAACTAGCGAACCAGTCAAGTAAGTTTCAGTTTACTGCGTTCTTCGTTAGCAAAATCTTAGTTGTAAGTGGCTGGCAAAGTTTCTTTTTAATGTTTTAACTTTCAAAGTTTTGATAAACTGTTCATGGTAGGAATTTAGCTGAGTTGCATCACTTTAACTTTAACCTCAACTATAACTTTTATCGGTGTTTTTGTATGGAGTTTGTAAGGCTTTTGACGTTTATTATAACAGTTAGAGTTATTCTAAAATTATTCTTAGGCTGAGTTGATATTATCTTACTTTAACTTTAACAAACGTCAAAAGTCTGTCGAACTTCATACAAAAACACCGGTTGTAGCTATAGTTACGGTTAAAAAAGGTGGTGCAACTCAGCCTTAGTGTGATATTTGCTTATTTCGATTTAATCGTAGTTTAGTATTACACAGGCTTTGTCTGAGAAAACAATATGGTTAAAATTAACTTCACTATAAAGCGCAAGCATAATAAACTTCTATTGTGCATATTATTACGCATGNTCCTACTTGCTGCAGTCTGTAAGTATTTATTTTGTGAAATGCATTTTCTTTCATTTCTACGAAATAGTATAGGTATTCAGTATTTATTTACATGAACGTAATGTTAATAAACCGCTTCCCAATTTTAGAATATTGTTTTATTGGATGCTGTACTTATTTTGAGGTAAAAAATAACAATACTTCGAGATTTTTGAAGTTTTCTTTTACAATATTGTAATAAGTTATTTTTCTTACGTTATTTGAAGTTATAATGAATCCGTTTCGAAAGTCATACTACTAGGGCCTTTTTACAAAAAAAGTTAAACACACGTTGAACATTACTTTAAAATGACATTTCCACACTAAATACATTTAAACAAGTGCTCAACGGGCGTTTAACTTTTTGTGACTTAAGCCCCAAGAAAACTAACTGAAATAAAAACCATTAGGGTTTTTCAGTTAGTTTTTGGTTAAGAATAAATTATGCAATTTTCAGACGAAAAAGTTTCACACAGCCAGAACCGAACTGAAGCGGATGACGGAACTGTGCCAGAAGCAACACAAGCAGCTGAAGGAGTACCAGAAAGTTGTGAAGAACTTGGAGGCCCAACTAGCGAACCACTCAAGTAAGTTTCAGTTCACTGCGTTCTTCGTTAGCAAAATCTTAGTTTTAAGTGCCTGGCAAGAGCGGATAAAAGTTTATTTTTAATGTTCAAACATTCAAAGTTTTGATAAACTGTTCATGGAAATTTAGCTGAGTTGCATCACTTTAACTTTAACCGTAACTATAACTTTTACCGGTGTTTTTGTATGGAGTTTGAAAAACTTTTGACGTTTATTATAACAGTTAAAAGTTATTCTTAAATTATTCTTAGGCTGAGCTGCACCATCTTTAACTTTAACAAACGTCAAATGTCTGTCAAACTTCATACAAAAACACTGGTTGTGGCTATAGGTACGGTTATAAAAGGTGGTGCAACTCAGCCTTAGTGTATTTGCCTATTTCGATTTAATCGTTATTTACTGTTACACAGGCTTTGTCTGAGAAAACAATATGGTTAAACTTAACTTCACTATAAAGCGCAAGCATATAATATAGCATATATATATAGCCTCATAGTAAACGCTACGAAATGCTTTATTAATATTGCTCTCTACTATATTGAGAGCTGTTCTTGTATATCTACCAGTATAATACGAGAGAGAGAGAGCATTTTGTGAGTTTGTGTTTAGGTAAGTAATGTGTAATTTTCGGAACCACTGTGAAGTATTATAGGTACTTTGTGTTTGAATTAACGGTTATAGTGCGACAAGGCTATTTGAGAGATTTAGGGTGTCATTACCGTAGGAAGGTATGACAATAATATTGTTGTAATTATTATTCTGTTAGTGTCTGGGGGCCTTAAGTATTTAAAGAATCTTTTGCTATGTGAAAGGTAGGTACCTTTTCTCTGATATAGGCTTATAGTATAATATTTTATAGATGCCAATTTCTATATAACATACAACCTTACGGCTGAAACGAACGAACGAACGATACAACCTTACAACCTGGGGGATTTTTTATGGAAATAGGTGGTTGGTGGGATTAATCAACAATCGGCCGACAAAAAGTCTGGTACAGGTCAAAGTCAAAGTCAAAGTCAAAGTCAAAGTTGAGTACTTAGGCCCTTTCCAGGTCGCTTATACAGGCGGGGAGTTTAAATAACTGTCCTTTTCCAGAACAAGCCTCCCCATTCAACATTCCTATCTCCCCTGGCTCCAACATCTCACCCAGCTTCATAAAATCTTCGCCTTGCTACAAGAGGCCAGCCAAAAGTACTCCTTACAATGTGAGTATTTTATCATAACAGATGATTGATCTAAATATTTTTACTTCTTCTACTGTTCGTTTCAGCTAAATGCGTGACAAAGGTCTCTCACAAGAATTACCATAATGACCGGTCCTGCGCTGCCTGCATCCAGGCACTTCCCGCGACCTTCACCAGATCGTCGGTCCACCTAGTGGGGGTCTACTGTGTGTAAAAACTTGAGTAGTTGGGGTCACGACACTATTAAGGTGACATTTAAAGATCAAACTGTATTTGGACCACGTAAAGTGCTCTGAAAGGGGCGTGTTCAAAAAGAAAATTTCGATAATCTTAAATCAGTCATCTTTTGAGGAATAAAGACTTACGGACGGACTTATACCTGCTTCCGTATTCTGAAACAATGCTGAAGTTAAGCCTGTTATTTTTTTAAAGATTAATATTTCAAATCGAGTACCAAGTGTCGTTTCAGACCTCAATCTTTTCACCACCACTTGAGTCACGTTTCACAGCTCAAAGAAAGCTAATATTGCCCCAACATCTACAATGGCCTTTTACAATCGTATACACGCGCTTCTGGGTCGAACACTCAATACGGTCGAAACATATGTCCCGGCTTTCGACGGAGCAAATAAACAGTATCAAAGCAGGTCGGGTCGGGTCGAACTTACGACCCGTCAATTTTTCAGCGCGCACTGATGCTCGCTGGGTCGGAAAGACCCCTGAAATTCATTTAGTGTATGACACATAAGCCTGGAAAATGGCTTGATAGTTTCAAAGTGATAAAAAATAATGGTTGAACTTTTGAACAAAGACACAGAAGAAGAGTGTATTCGCAAACTGAATCTGAATATTTTTTTATGCAGCACAAAGCAGTTATTATATCTGATTGCACATTAATTTGGATATAATAGGCGTAAATTAAAAGATTTCCATGTTTGAAGCCACTTGACTTATTGCGCTATGTGAAATACCTATGGCTTAAATACAAAAATAGTAACTTTGTCAGAAGTCATGCGTCTGTAAAAATATTAGGGAGTGTTGCGGATTCGGAAGTTTTTGAGGGCATAGTCTTTGTCTATAACTTCAATTAGAATCTACGCTAACAGATTCGCGGACAAACGTATTAGATAAGGGTACTTTTCCCCATTCATCTTAGAACAGGAAAAGCTAAAGGTCTTCTATATGTTGTTTATTCCTTTATTCCTTTGGGTGCCGGGGTTTTACCACTACGAAAACTTAAAAGATTAAACGTTTATCTCGCAGTGTTATCAGTCGGCCCTCGTGACCCCCGCCCGAGTGACCAAGCAAAGGTCCGCTTGCTTCAGCGGTCAGAGTCAGGTACCTATTTTTATTATTGTAGTGATAGAGATTGCCACATGACGTCTGAGTGGACGTGATGGCGAGTACAGTCAGCGTTGATAGAATCTGGCAATGTCACAAGATTTTCTGAGGCCAACTTGCTTGAGTTTAAATTAAGTTTTGAGTTTTGTTTTTTAATTTGTTTCAAAAGTCCGTAAGTAATCCTGAAATTGCTCAGAAATATATTTTAACTATCATTTGGTTGAATACTTTAAAATGCAGTTTTCAGCTAAATTCCTATTTTTTTGTAATAAATAATAGCTAGTAATCTATATTTGTACGTAACTACAAATTTTATCAAATTTTAATGATAAAATTGCCAAATACTATTGTCGCGAATAGTACAAAATTGTTATTGTAGGTAGATGATGTGTGAACTTAAATTTTGTTTGATTTCGCATTTTTGTTAAGGAAGTGCAGAAAACGAGGATAAATGTTGTATTAAATGTTCTGTGATTTCAGTAAAATTCCTACTTTAGTTAATCAGAATAATGTAGGTAGGCTCTTTTACTAGCAAATGATCGTAGAACGGAAATATTGCTTGGTGTAAATTAATAAATTTGTAATAAGTAGGTATAATTTAATATATTACATAATATAATACAGTATAATATAATAACAATTTTTAAAATATTTCAAAAGTTATCAAATGCATATGCAATTACAGTTCACGTATCGAAAAAATTATCACTTTCGTCACAGCAGCACACACTATAACTTGGCCAACCAAAAATAATTTGAATCTTGAACTCTACAGTTTTACACATTGCTACCAAAACACCTTCTGACCATGACCACTCCTTGCTTGGTAGAACCAGCAGGCAATATATTATATCTGAAACCATACAAGCTGTCATAACAGCTCACTAAAGCATGTTTCCACCGCCAGTTGGCAAGGCACCAGCAATACCTATACGTGACCAGCTCCCCAAAAGGTCAGCTGTTAGTATAGTATATATTGTTTTCGTCTATATTGTGATATTGTTTTCGTGTTTACACCACCTATGCTGTGAACGGTAAGATAAATAAACAGAATATAAACAAGTAGGTATGTACTCTAAATGTTTATAAATAAATGTGTGGATGAGTTACTTCTTCAGGTAAAGGTTAACCGAAATATGAAGCTATTTTTAAATATTTTAAGCGTACAAGCAGACGTTTAAAACAGGTAAATCGCTGTGTTTATTATCTGAACAAACACTGGCCCCTTTAATATTATTAGAAGAGCTTTAAAGTATTTATATTACCTTTATTTACCTTTGTGAGTCTCTCGAACGAATGGGAATAGGAATAAAGAGGCGTTATTGTTTTAATATGTTTTGAAGTACCACTGCCTCCAATACACACTTTAATGTTTTGAGAAATAGACTCTCCAGATCAGAATTTCGAGGGATATTTATCTCTAGATAGTAGAATTGACTTTGATGTAATAGGTAATATTATGACTAAGATTAGTTAACTTATTACAATAGTAAACAAATCGATAGTTAACTTAATTCACAACATTCACAAAATGCTGTAAAAATCAAAACAATGTTTTCCAATAAACAGCTGAAAAGCTGTTAAATATAGTTAAAATCACTTTCAAAAATTCATTTCGTTAAAATCACTTTCATGACGCGTGAAAACCTCTGGGCATAAAATTGAAAACTGAAATTACAAACCCGAGCAGTCTACGGTGGCAGGTTTATCCCATTTTATTAAAATAACTTTCATCTGAAACATTTTGCTGAAATTCACGAAAACCTGTCAGACATATTAAAGTATGTGGTGTTACTGAAATATCGGAAAACTTTTGTGAATTATTGTATGCTTGGTTCGGCGTTTTCATGGATCTTGCGGGCTTTATTGCTTTATGTGGTGATATACAATGAGAAGAGTTATTATAAGGATATTCACAACTTATGTTGGTATTTTGGGTCTTTTCAAAGCTGAAGCAATATTTTCTAGATTAGCTTAGCTATTTCTGCTTGCATTAAAGAGTAGGCTAAAGTGCGAAATCACAACAAGTACTTTAGCTGTCTGACAGACTTTGGTAAAGAAATAATGATATTTCAACCGTTTAGATAAGACTCTCCTAAGTCATTATTAAAGAAAGTGCATTGTGTTGCTCATGTCTAGACCACTACATCACTTAGCACTATCCAAATGTATGTCAATGGTCATCTATCGCTGATTTGTAGTACTAAGGTTCAAAACAAATGAAAAATCTTTTCCTCTATACTGTTTACTTTAAAAACAAAACACGGCTCCCAAGCTACCGTTCTGTTTCAGAAGTCGAACACGTCGAACAAGATATCGTCAACGGTGTTCACGCCACCGACGCCCGACTCGGCCGGGTACAGCAACTTTTTAAAGCACCTGTAACGGTATCGCCTGAACAAATGATCATGCAAGCGCGAATGTTCTTTAGAATCTATATATATAAAAATGAAACCCGTTTCGCGTTGTCACGGCATCACGTGTGAACGGCTGAACCGATTTCGATAATTCTTTTTTTTAAATGTTTGTGGAAGTCCAAGGATGGTTCTTACGGAAAAAAATATTAAGAAAATCTCTACGCTAAGGCGGTACGAAGTTCGCCGGGTCAGCTAGTATTGAAAAATAAATACACTTACTGCAAAGAAAGACATCGATGTCGTCGGGTATGGTGCAAATCCGCGAAACTATCACTGGCTAATACCGCGTATCTGCACTACTGACTAGGGATGTTATGGATATGTAGTTTCGGTTATGGATACGGTTACGGATATAGGAATAATATTATACCGGTTTCGGTTACGGTTACGGATATTTTTTTATTTCGGATATCCGAAACTTTCGGTTACGGTTACGGATATCCATAACATCCCTGCTACAGACTCCTGCGTTTCCCGCTAATTCTTAAACTGGCTAAAGTTACACGGTATTATCAAAATGCTAGTTATGCGGATTTGCACTACCCATCCCCTACGATGCTGTGTTCATACATACAATTTTCACATTGAGTTCCAAAAGCTCTCTCTCTCAAATGAATTAGTAACATAGTGAGATAACGATTTTATGCTTATAATTTTCATGTATCAGATGTGACGTGATGTAAGCATATTTGTACAGTGGTTCTTGATTATATTGACTAACTAAAACTAAGTGAAAAATACTTCAGTATTTTGTCATCTGATTAACTTTTTGTGCAATAATTAGATCCAGCTAGCTGAATAATTAAATATACTTTTTCTTAACACCGTGGTCGACTAATGAATTGTCATGGCTAATCTTTAAACTAACCGTATAATGAGTTTTATAGCGAAAAACTAGATATTTCGTTTTATTTTCTAGGTCCTCTAGCAGCGAGTCTGGGTATCAAACCAATGGTTCTAACTCGCCGATTTTGTACTGCAATGGCTATGGAAAGTGCTCGTTCAAGAGAAGAAAGAATCCTTTTTTGTTTGATTATTAAGTTAATTTTGTCTTGATTTTATTTTATTAGTTTGCCTTTTTCGTAATTCTTGCATGTAATTCTAATAATGCGGTGCGTAATAAATGTGTAAAATCTAAAAAAAGCTTGAATTTATTGAGATGACATTGTTTGGTTTGCATTTGTATTGATTACCTAGGTATCGATTAGATAATTGGATTAGGTAATTATTTACGGCGTACGGCAATGAAACTTTTTCATCTAGATTCTAGATGCTATAACAAATTAGATTATTATATTTGAAACTATGGTCAACCTATAATCTTTGTTTCGAAGTCGAAGCGCTGGCAAGTTCCATAAAATAGGGAGACCCAAAAATACTTTTCAAACTGTACCATCCTAGACTGCGTCTGATTTTTATGAATAACGGTCAAATACCTGCCTTGTTTTGCATTAAAAAAATCTTCAGTCAAAAGAAACATCCATTCCAAAAGTTCAAAAACATTTATTAATCAACGTCAACAATTATCTCGAGCTGGTCACTGGTCAGTGGATGGGCAGGATTCCCTTGTTCTGCTGGTAGCCTCCACTGGCTTCCTGGTGGCCGTGCACTGCATGAGCCCCAAGGTTGTTGAACTTTTCCAAAAGTTCTGCACCACCTTTGTAGCCCTTCTGGAGGTATTCGCCCTGGGAAATGATAAGATGTCATTGTCATTTATTGTCATGTCATAAAAATAATTGGGAGTTAGTGAATCTGACCAAAAAGAGCACATTAATATAATCTATTGTAGAGAATATAATGACGTCGACTGTGTTACTTGGATTTTTTTATGGAAAAAATATTATTCTCCGTAAAAGTCCGTAAAATTAATCAGTACAAGAAAGTTACGTCTGTAATTTTGTTAAAAATCCTGTATTAAAACTCTATTTATTATCAAGTCAATTGTTAAATAATCTCAATTAACTTTACTGTAGAACTTTCCAAAAACTCTTTTGCACAACTAAACGAAAAGGTATTGTTGCTATAACCTAAGAAAATTAATGTCACTTTCAAATTCTAATAGCATTCAATAATGAAGTAAGCGACCACCTAATGTGTCTTAGCAAAAGTAATTATAAGTTTTTAATCATGGGAACCATGATCACTGTTTGCAAAATGTTTAAAAGGATTTATGAGATAAGGTATTTACTTTTTCTATAATGTGCCAATTTCAGTCGTTTCTCAGTAGATTGGGCGTCACCAAAATAACCCAAAAATATTAGTATCTTCAGCAATATTATCGGTAAGATTTTTAGTCTCGCAAGAACACATGTTACATATTATTTTATTACGCTTATCTGACGATCAAATAACATTGTTTATCCCCGACTAACTTACTAAAATAGCAAGGATTATTATTATATTCCTCATTTTCTACGCCAGACGTTTGCGTTAGTGATTTGGGAATAAGTTTATGTTTACTAACCTTATTGGCCTTGGCATCGTCAATCTTCTGTTCTGACACGTGATGTCCTTCCTTGCCCTGGGCGTTTGCATCCAGGATCTTCTCTTCGGCAGCTCCCTTGAAGCCTTGCTGAGCGTTCTCGCCGAAGTTCTGGGCGTTCTGGCCGGCGACGCGGTGGTCAGCCTCGTCATGGGCTTCATCGTAGAAGCTCTCCGTTTTTTCCTCTTCGTTCTTACTGCTGGATGTCTTGAATCCTTTGCTCACATGACCCTTTTTGTGGCTCTTCGCTTTTTTCAGCTGTTCCTCATTGGCACCTATTTACAAGTCTTATGTTATTACATTTGTTAATTAAAGAATGCTATGTATGTGTAAAATATAGACTTACCATGTTTATCGAATTTCTGGCCGCCCTCATAGAATTTCTCGTCACCGGCAGCTTTCTTTTTAGCCTCTTCGTCTTTGTAGAAACTGGATTCTCCCTTTTCAGCCTTAGCAGCAGCGGCAGCCTGTTGGAAACCCTCTTGGCCATGTTTAGACTCTTCCTCAGCTTTCTTTTCTAGCTTCTCAATGTTTTCATCGGCGCCTTTCTTTTGAGCAGCATCGTACGCCTTTTTGTCGACGTATCCTCCGCCAACTTGGGCACCGAGTATAGGATGGTATAGAAGACCGTTTCCTAAGCCGATTCCGCCGACTCCCAAGCCACCGATTCCAGGGTGGATCAAAGCGCCGTTTGCGACACCACCAACGCCGACTCCTCCAGCACCAACACCACCAATACCGCCGCCAACGCCAAGTCCATTAACCGCGCCTATTCCGAGTTGGCCCAGTCCTTGCCCGAGTCCAATCCCTCCAAGCCCTAAGCCACCGAGTCCACCGATGCCTATTCCTTGGCCTAAACCAAGACCTCCGACGCCAACACCACCTACACCACCAACACCGACGCCCGTATTCAGAATCGTAGAAGCGGCTCCTTGGAGTTGCTCAGGGTAATCCTCACTTTCTTCAACTTCGTACGAATTGGAAAGCGGCACTCCCGACCTCGCATCGGTCCCGATAGCGTCCAGGCGCTCCTTCACATAGTCGTACGGCGTCTTGTTGTCAGACAACTCGACTTTATGGAACAGCTGGGCCGAAGCCACACACAGAATCGCGAACTTGGACAACGTAGTCAACATCGTTAAATTGTTTACCGGCGTAGTGCGACTGATGTCATTTCGGTGCTGCAACCATTATTTATAGTGAAGTTAAATTCGGTGGAACGTAGCGGTCCTCGTATTTAGGTCTCCGTGATAGTTTTCGCCGTCTGGGGCCCGTGTCCGGTGGTTCCCTTCCTGTGTTATTGTCTTAACTGCTCCTAATGGGACTGAAACGGCGAAAATAAAACAATGCGCCCGGTGAGACCTTGCTTTCCAGTTCACTGAAGCCGGCAGTGGGGCGTCGGTTTACGCAACCAGCTATAGGTGACACGTTTTCTCGTGTTTTCCAAGAAATAACCTGTGGTTTCTGGAAATATGGTCTCATTACCCTGATACATTAAGGTTATTAAAGTTACAATGTGCATTGCTTGTTAGCATTGATTAAGATTCTGCCGGCAACTGTTAAGTAAATGAGATAAATCTGGGCTCATTGCCATTTCCGCGGAGTCTTATCTACCCAGCGAATAAGTAGGCTGTAAAGTACCTACCTTGTTAGAGTAACAACCTTATTTTTTAGTTAATGAGATAATGTTGCAATTTATTAACCGAGTGATTAATTTCCTCCGTGTATCAACCTTGGTTCAGATCGGACGATTTCACGTTATTGTTTTCTTACGCTTAAAATATGTGTCGAGGGCTCTAATAAAGGTTATCGTCCATTATACAGGTGTCAGGTGTCAATGAGTCACCAAGAATCACTCTTTGGAAATTTAGGAAGCATTGAAGTATAGAAATAGGTCGTAACTTTACCTCAAGTTCTTCGATTAGTCTCTACCTAACTAGGTAAGGTTTATTTCCAATCAACTTTAACGTTTAAAGTATAAAACAGATTTTGTCCAAACGACATAAAATCGCAATATTCTTTCAAATATTCCGTTACTTACTGAATCGTGTATGAAAAAAGGTCTGTCGCAAAAAATACAGGGGAAAGCACTTAACTTATTTAGCGAATGCAAATAGCTTGGGGAGTTTCAAATGATGATTATAATAAGACGTTAAATTAAATTGTCGTCTCGGTGTAATTTGAGGATTTTACTCCAAAATTATGTTCATAAAGACTTGTATGAACATTCTCATTTGGAACTCTAATTAAATTCGTTGTGGCCGGAATTAATCTTAGGGCTCTCTTTGTTACGGTTTGATGCTTTTCTACGTTTATTTTCAGAGATTTAATCTGCTCTTGTGTTAAAACGAGTAGCCTTAAGTATTAGTTAATACCAAATCGAGTTACAACTAAGTGCATATCAGCCTATTAGTTTAGTGTAAAGCTAGGTAGAGTTATTGATTCTATGAAACTGCACTGTGCATGTCACTAGTATTAGTATTTTATCTTTTCTTTCAAGCGGGATAAGATGACAAAAGTTTTGAGCGGTAAGTATGAGTTGACCAAAGCCTCAGAATAGGCCAGTGAAGGATTACTTAAAGACTTTTCGTTCAAAGAAATACTCAATTGACGGTGATAGCGTTCAAGGATTGAATAAAGTCAATGAAAATGAATGAATGGAAATCTCTATTGAGTACCTATCTTATAATAAATGGCAGGGAGATCCCTTTTAAGATATAGGTCTTTTAATAGAAGGTTCCACTTTATCACTTAAAAAAGGTTACCTAAAATTTTCATACACAAAGAATTTAGTTAAGAAGACTATTGTGTATGGATGGACGACGCGCGACGGTAGTTATATACGCATAATTATGATGATAAGCCAGAGTTCTGGTGCCATGTAGGTAATTGTAATAATGCTCTTTTCCAATATAGATGTAGGGCTCGGGAAAGATACAAAAGATCTCATGGGTCGTCATTTGTAAGACAATATCTCTAATACAATATGGCAGTATTAGTGTGAAATATTAACTCCCACCCACTCATAGAAGATCCAGAATAATTAAAGTACAACTTTAGTTTGGCTTCTTTTTCATAGTTAAAACGATAATATTAGCTCAGGTAATGGTTAATCTAATTAAAACTCTAAGTCTTAAATTAACTTAAAGCAAAGTTTAAAATAAGCGTATCTCGTAAAATTTAATTTAAGTGCTTCTAGAAACAAATTTAACAAAGTTTCGTGCATAACGTTAAGAACTTCGAGCGCCTAATTGAAATAAAAAGCAACAAATTCAAAATCTACACAAGTTCAGTGCACCCCACCAGGCGCCAACTATATACTAACTTTAATTAATGCTGGTTTTAATCTGATATTCTAGAATTTAAAATAACAAAATGTGCTGAAATAATAATGTTTGTGAAGTAATAGTTGTGACATGTAAGACTATTCTTTACTTCAAGGTTGTTATTTTTGGCTTTAGTGACTTTAAAATATGGAAAACTAAGAACCTAAGTAAGTATAGGATTTGTAATGGGATTTTAACTTTGATTTACGTTTTTATCACCAGTCTCACGTTAAAAACAAGCATTAAAATTATATTACTTTATGTTATTTAAACAATTTTGAATTTTTTAATTATTGCTGAAGATGTATAAGAAGCTGATCAGTATAATTATTGTGCCAGCTAGGCCTAGATCATATTATTAATACACTTTATTTTTAGAAAAGCTCCAAAATATCGTAACTTCTTGGTAGAGTTAACTCTATAGAGATGCATGTACTATAAAGAGGGAAAATTTTGCCAAGAAAACTTCAAACTGTAAGAACTTTAAGGAGGTTATTGAAATAGTTCCACTGCATTGTGAGTATGCGAGTTGGAGAAGAAAATTTTCAGGCTGCATTAAAATTTACGAAGAAAAAACTTCTTGTTAGTAAAAATTAGGAGTCATTGCGATGCATGATGTTATTTGCTTTTAGAAAAAAAGTTTTCTGTTTTAAAATAAATAAGTAGGTACCTAAGTAGTCTGTTAGTTGTTAATGGCGCGTTTAAAAAAAGCTTAAAATATAGACCAGAACAATGCAATCAATCGACTTTTTGTTCTCATTCAACGGCAACACATAGGTACTAGATACTATAGGTACTTCGTGGTAGATAATTAATTTCTTTACCTCTTACTGTACATTAACAGGCGACTAGAAATAATATAAAAACTTTTAAGCACTCTAATCTATACACACTTTTGGGTTTCTCTATCCGTAAACGTTTCACTTCTCCATGTAAATGCCAGTCTTCATTCAGAGTCAATTCACAGTTGGTTGACTTATTGCTTTTAGAAAACTGTAGGCGTTTCTTTTCTTAATTCACTTTTCCTTACCTGTAATTTAAAAGCGGTCTCATTTATTCTGCATCGAAATGATAATCGTCATCATATCGCGAATAAACATAAACTTTCTATCCTACTTAATATTATAAATGCGAAAGTTTGGATGTCTGGATGTTTGTTACTCTTTCACGCAAACACTACTGAACGGATTTTGATGAAACTTTACAGTATTATTGTTTATAACCCAGAATAACATATAGGCTATAATTTATGACGATCTGTGACAAACTAAATTTCACGCGGGTGAAACCGTGGGCAAAAGCTAGTCTTGTATAAGTTTACATATATCCCTCGTACCCGAGCCTCGAAGGTGTCCACACGTGTCCATTATAAAAACAAGGGAGAGTTGCAATTGAGTTTGTGATTGTGAAACAGATAATAACCAATGTTTACTTGTCAATTGGGTGCGTGCAAATTATAAATAAATATTCTAGAATTATTACGGTTCCAACTTGAAAGTACTCCATCATTTGCATTTGGAATAATATGAACAGATGCATCTCTCCGATTGTAATGAATCAAATCTGGCATTTCGCTGACACGCGGCTGACATGTCTCGCGCCGCATTGTGTCTCTGTCGATATGCAAATAAGGACCTTTCTCCATTTATCACACAGACACTTTTTGCTCGGTCACTCTTTCGGCTTTCTACCGGCAAAGATTTTGCCAAGTTTAACGCTGCGTCCCAATCGCGCTTTGATTTTCGACTCTGTTTCTTTACTATAAGGTTGAGAAACGAGGGTAGCAGATTATGTTAAAGTTTACGCGCCTAAAGATTAATCGTCAATCACTCATTCAATCATAGTGCACTTTCTATCGATTGCATTGAGTTACCGAAAATAATAATCGAAATAAAGCTTTCACTACGACAAAATTGCTAAACGTTCAGTGTAATTTGGTTTTACATAACCAAAGTGTAATGATACCTAGAGTGATAGTTAAGAAACTAATTTGTCTGAGTTAATTACTTAAATAGAGAGATGTTTTAATCTGTAGTAGTGAATTATATCGTCTTAACTTACCAGTTAGCGGCAATAGAGCGTTCAAGCAGCAAGTATGTGACAATTTATAAATTAATATGTTTACATATTCAGATTATTTCAGCATAAATAATATATCATAAGAGTAAAATTACTTAAGTTACTTTTATGCTAAGCCGTCAAATCTGTAGCACGAAAAAACTAACGAATGTAGTCAGCGAATCACTCTTTGATTGGGCCCATGAAAAAGAAATGGTTTGGAATTAAAATGTATTTCTAAAGGTTTAACACAGTTTAAACTAGGTAGGTACACCTGAAAACTAGATTTTGGAGTTCCCCAGCAAAAACGGCGTTCGTGAAAACGTTCGCTAAAGCGAGTTCGACTGAACCATGAATGTATTCATGAGAGCCGTGGAACGTAAATTTTCGATGGCCGGATTGAATCCCGTTGAATAAAACGCTTTTATTGTTTTCTCCATTTTGACGCTGTTACGCTCGCGAGCAATTTTAGAGCGGATATTATATGCTGAGCGTACACACCATCTGCTTTGAACTCGCAGCTTTGCTTTTAGTTGGGAAATGTTTCAGGATTTTAAGTAAGATGACTGTTTTCAGGAGAAGTTAATGGAATTATTTCTATCAAGCAGAGGGCACATTAGACAGTTAATCTAATTTCCAATCTGTTTGGTAGCCGCAAATATTCGCATATAAAAAATATTTTAGTTTAAGCTCCTCTGGTTTTAAGTGGTCACTCGAGGTGGCTCATTTAATCCTTACCATTTTGTCTGCCCTGAATTACCTTTCCAGAGGGAGGTTTTTGAACAAGGTTGAGGACTTTTTAACAAAAAGCATCCAAAGTAAGGTTAAAAACAAGTATTTTTTCAGACATTTCAGAAATTGGTGAATTAATGTAGAAAGAGCTAGGAATAG